TGAAATAAAGAATGATTCTAAATCAAAACAAATCATAACAGACTAAAGATTTAAATAATCAAATATATAAAATAATATCTATTGCAATTTCTCTTATAAATTTGCCAAATTCTTAAACAGACTCCAATACGAATTTATTTAGCGATCTATAGACTATCCCATGTTGATTTTCTCTTCATTTTCCCTATGCTTTAGTACTATTTTCTTAGCCGAGTATAATACGTTGCAGCTTAAATTTCTGTTTCATATTCTTTTAGCTTTGAGTATAATTCACCGAACATAAACTTTAATTTTTATTTTTTTTCTTGGAATTTGTCTTTTTCACCTGCAGGAATCTATTTGAACAATTAAAACATGGCAAAAACATCAGTCCCTTTAGTGGGATTTCTTCTTTTCAGTCTCTTGGTCGCCACGGCACAAGCAGGAGTTGAGTACATGAAATACAAGGACCCCAGGCAGCCGATTAGCAAGCGGATTCGGGACCTGACGAAGCGAATGAATCTCGATGAAAAGATTGGTCAGATGGTACAAATTGACCGGCAAGTAGCCACTGCAGCGGTCATGAGGGACTACAAAATCGGCAGCATCTTAAGTGGAGGAGGAAGCATACCGCGCCTTCAAGCCACCCCGCAAGAATGGATCAACATGGTTAATGGTTTCCAAAATGGTTCACTCTCAACCAGGCTAGGGATTCCAATGATTTATGGCATTGATGCTGTCCATGGACATAACAATGTGTATAACGCCACCATATTCCCTCATAACGTCGGCCTTGGTGCTACAAGGTAAGGCCTATTTTTCTTCAGTTTCTTCCATTGCAATATATTTTTGTTTAAAGTTTTCCAAGAAAATTACAATATATTTTGTGACAAATCTCCATTGTTATAGAGATCCTGATCTTGTGAAGAGGATTGGATCTGCAACAGCTCTTGAAGTTAGAGCTACTGGCATAAGCTATGTTTTTGCACCCTGCATAGCGGTAATGGAGTATTCGATGGACCATCTGTTGGATTTACCTGTTTTTATTAAGAGAAGTACATTTCTGTAACTCTAATGTTTACAAAATTTTAGGTTTGTCGAGACCCGAGATGGGGTCGATGTTATGAGAGTTACAGTGAAGATCCTAACATTGTCAGGGGAATGACAGATATCATAGATGGACTGCAAGGGGAAATCCCAAGGGGTTCACCTAAGGGTGCTCCTTATGTTGGTGGAAAGTATGTTAACAGGAAATATACATGCAAACATATAATTTATGGATTAATTTTAAAGTAATTGAAAACCATGTATCTGTTTTCTACTTTGAAAAAGGGACAAGGTGGTGGCTTGTGCCAAGCATTTTGTGGGAGATGGTGGGACAACAAAGGGCATCAATGAAAACGACACAGTGATCGATAGACATGGACTGCTTAGCATTCACATGCCGGGTTATAACGCCGCCATCTATAAGGGAGTCGGGACAGTTATGGCTTCTTACTCTAGTTGGAATGGAGTGAAAATGCATGCTAACCGTGAACTTGTCACTGATTTCCTCAAGGGCGCTCTTAGGTTCAGGGTAAATTCGACTGCAACTCTATAGAATTTGTTATGAAACCTGCGGGAGAAATAAATCGAAACATTGTTTATGATACGATCTGTGCCAATTATATATCCATTCAAAATTGCAGGGATTTGTCATTTCTGATTGGCAGGCGCTTGATAGGATGGCATATCCTGTTCATGCCAACTATACATATTCAGTTCTCACAGCGATTCAAGCAGGCCTTGACATGGTGAGTGGCCTTGATAGGTATTCATATGTTCAGGGTCCGATCTGACTCGATTTTGGATTATTCAGGCTCGATGTGGCTTTCGGATTTACCTGTTTGAACTGCTTGTTTTACAGATTATGGTTCCTTACAACTATACAGAGTTCATTGATACTTTGATTGGTCTTGTCACTAACAATTTCATCCCCATGAGCCGTATTGATGATGCTGTTAGGAGAATCTTGAGAGTCAAATTCACACTAGGTTTATTCGAAAACCCAATGGCTGATGAAAGCTTTGTTGATCAGCTCGGACATCAGGTTATAAACAAGCAATGTCTTTTTAACATTCAAGACTAGCTTTGGAGGTATATCAGATTTGACCTGTTTGGTTTTTATTTCAGGCTAATAGAGATTTGGCCAGGGAAGCAGTGAGGAAATCGCTTGTTTTGTTGAAGAATGGAAAAATTGCAGATGAACCGATGCTACCTCTTCCCAAGAACTCGTCGAAGATCCTGGTTGCCGGCAGCCATGCCGATAACTTGGGAAATCAATGCGGTGGTTGGACCATCAACTGGCAAGGTGGTGACGGGAACAATTTGACTGCTGGTAATAAAATATTCTTATCTCTTAAAACTTAGCTTGCAACACAGGTCACAACCATTACAAAACTGTATATTAATGTTGTTTAAACCAACAGGAACTACCATTCTGAAAGGTATTTCAGAAGCTGTTGATCCAAGCACAGAGATAGTCTACCAAGAAAACCCGGATATCAGCTACGTCAAGACCAACAATTTCTCCTACGGAATCGTCGTTGTCGGGGAGGCTTCGTATGCCGAGACAGCTGGGGATAATTTGAACTTGACGATCCCATTACAAGGTCAAAATACAATCCAAAGTGTCTGCGCCAACATCAAGTGTGTGGTTGTTTTGATATCTGGAAGACCCCTTGTTATGATGCCACATCTCGAACTAGTTGATGCACTGGTTGCTGCATGGCTGCCCGGCTCCGAAGGCCAAGGTGTGGCCGATGTTCTTTTCGGAGACTATGGTTTCAGCGGCAAACTGCCTCGGACGTGGTTCAAGACAGTTGAGCAGCTGCCGATGAACGTCGGGGATCCGAATTACGACCCACTGTATCCCTTTGGTTATGGGCTCACTACTCAACCTGTCGGCCACACAAGTTAGTCTCGGGGTTTTTAGTTTGATTTTTGGTTTTAAGATTTGGAGTTATTGGTATAATAATGATAGCAGTAATTTTGTGTTAGAATTTCATAGGTAGGATCCATCTTCTTGAGTTGCTGCTTATTTGGTCTACTTGTCATGTAAATTTGTTGGTTGAAAGTACTAACGTGGTGCTTTGGAAGAAAATGTTTTATTTTCATGAAATTTTATTCTACAATTTAATAATAAAAAATATTTTGTAATTAAATGATTACGGATCTAATTTAATTAATAAAATAAAAAATTAAAAGTACTAAATTAATGCGAAAATATGATAGAGTAAAATTGATAAGCTTAGTTTACTTCAGGGATAAAAGTTACCATTTTACTTCTTTTTTTTATCTTTATTGATTGGCGACGATATTGATTTTAATGTTGGTTGTCAATCGTTAATTTTTTATTGTCCTTTTCTTTTTTTATATTGTATCTTTATTTTTCTCATTTTTAATTATTAATAAATCTGTTTTTACGACACGTTTTCATTTACTTTTATCACATGTTTTCTCTGTCTTTTAGCACGTTTTCGATCGTTTGGCCATTGCTTTTTATTTATCCTTTTTAAGAGTTGATTCGACATCACTACATTGATCAAAATGACGCTTACTTATTATAATGTTGGTATTCCTTACTTTGGACCATATGATTAAATTTGGATACTTGATTTGTCTGGATACATTTTTTCATGTCGCTCGACTGTGATTTACGATTTTGTTAGTGGTTTTTCAATATCTTAATTCACTTTTACAATTCGTTTGTCAATACAATTAAATTTGTTTGTATCTTTCATTGTTGAAGTTTTGGTTATGTGCTCTTTTAATAACTTGATCCCTTATATAATCTCAAGTTATTAATTTTGTGTCAACAATTTTAGAAAAATATCATAAATTATATGTTTAATTTAATATTATGATCATAAATATTCATTGTAATCCATATATTTTCTTTTTAATAAACTTAGTGGTTCTATAAAAAAACTTAATGTTTTACTTATTATTATTATTGATATTATGGTAAATTATATTATTCCTCACTGAATTTTACTCTTTTTCATATTTTACTCATTATACTTTTAATTTTTTTAATTTACTCATAGAATTTTTGAATTGCTTCTGTGTTTGATCATTTTGAATTATTTTATTATTATTTTTGTATGACATAATATTTTTTATTATTTAATATAAAATAATTTAAAATATAAAATAAAATAGAATGTGGTTGGACGCTATCACCAACCACCGTCGAGGTCGTAGATGGCCGTCGTTCGATCCCAAATTTCATAGATTGCTTTACCTCGATATCCTAAGTTTGAATCCGACCTTTATCTTTTAGAAAACTACTTTAAAGTCTATGAATTGGAGATCGAAAATGAGGAAACTAAAATATTTCAGTCGAGATTCACAAGTTTGAGACATTTTCTAATAAAACAATCACTAGATTTATATTCAAAGGGTTGAGATAAATCGACCCATGGAATTTATGATAAGAGAGAGATTGTAGTTAGGTGAGTAGATAAGTATTTTACCCTAAACATTATTAACATTGAGAAGCACATAAAATTATTGAAGTTTCGATAGTACCCCCATTTCTCAAATAAAGCCCATTGACGGACCTTTCTTTATTCGTGACCATCTTCTGATAGCTTTTCCTCACAGTGATATAAATAGGGTCTCTCACCCTAAACCCCCAAAAGGGGAAAAAGAAATATTCTCTAATCTTCTTAACTTTCTAATTTTCATATCAATTCCACAGTCATGACCCCTGCCCCAATCGATGTACTCTCTCTTTTTTATTTGAATTGTTTTCGGTTTGATTAATTGATGCCTTTGGAGTTTGTTTAGGGTTTTTTCTTGTATATTCAATTTTGCTTTCTTCGTAAATTTGCGCTTCTGATTTAGTTATTTATGGGAGTTTTTTTATTAATTTTTTTCAGCATCAGGAAGATGAGGAAATGCTTGTGCCACACTCGGATTTGACCGACAATCACCAGCACATGGAAGGTACTTTTTTCTTGGAAATTAAGAAATAAGTTTCCAAAATATTGCACTTCGTTTCTTGTGGGCATCACTGGAAAAAGGGTTTGATTTGGTCGTGGTTTTATGTCTCAATTTGTTAGTTGTATCCCAAACCGAGACTGCTAATACTTTGGAAAATCAACCAGCGGAGGATCCTCCTTCATCAAGATTCACTTGGAAGATTGATAACTTTTCTAGGTTAAACACTAAGAAGCATTATTCCGATGTTTTTGTCGTTGGTGGTTATAAATGGTACATTGCTTATTCCCTTGTTGATAGCACTTGTCCCCTCTTTTTCCCCTTACTTTTCTGTTTCGGTGATAGTAGTTGAGGATTGATGCTCTTGGTTTTGAATTTCTTAGGCGAATATTGATATTTCCAAAGGGTAACAATGCGGATCATTTATCTATGTATTTGGATGTTGCTGACTCAGCAAGTTTACCCTATGGGTGGAGTAGATATGCACAGTTCAGTTTGGCAGTAATTAATCAAATTCATAATAAATTTTCAGTCAGAAAAGGTATTACCCTTTTACCTTGTCGTTCATACACTTACTGTTTAAGTAATCTTTTTTGGGTGTTAAAGCATACTGAAAGTTTTTTTCTGGATTTAGATAGTTTGTAACATGGTTGCAGAAAAATGATGATTTGATCTTGTATATGAAGTTGCATGAGCAACAGTTTTTTTTACCAATATAAGAACATTACTTATAGGTGATTTTGTTCTATTTTGTCAAAGAGTAGGCTTTTGTTATCTGATGAAAAGATTAATTTTTGATATAACTATAGGTAGGTCATATCTGATTACTTATGACATGAGAAAGAAAGGTGACAATTTGACACGTATATGATGCTCTATTTTTCAATCGGAATTTATTGATATCATTATCTGTTTTGATTATTAGGGGACATGACTATTTTTGGTTGATTGTATTTATATTTTTAAGTTTAGAGGATATTCTTAGAATATTGTATTCCGATCTTAATCTTTTGTAAAATTCCTTTTTGGTCCTTGTGAACACAGTGCTTCCTTGTATGTATAACATCTGGTCTATTTTCTTTTTTGGGAGAACATTAGAATCTATATGTTGCTTACTAGGTTTGGTTTCTGGTGATATGTTATTGTCTCACTTTTCACAATTATTTTGTCGTAACATTGTATAGAACAATGTTAAGGCTATTAATTTTGCACATATCTTCCTTCCGCTAGTTGCCTCTTTCACAAGAGCCAACTATGAGGGAGGTTTTTAATGAGACCTCCTATTCCTATCAAATTTTTTTTGCACATATCTGACTTTAACCTTGCAGACACACAACACCAATTTAATGCAAGAGAAAGTGATTGGGGTTTTACATCCTTTATGCCGCTTGGTGAGTTATATAATCCTTCCAGAGGGTATCTTGTGAATGATACTCTGATTGTTGAAGTAGAGGTTGTTGTCCGCAAAATTGTGGATTACTGGGCACATGACTCAAAGAAAGAAACTGGTTATGTCGGTCTTAAGAATCAAGGAGCAACATGTTACATGAACTCCCTGCTCCAAACTCTTTATCACATTCCTTACTTCAGAAAGGTAATTGCTGATGCTTTATATTTTTTCGAACTGATGTGTTTTATACAATATTGCTAATGTGTTGGATGTTACATTTCAGGCAGTTTATCACATGCCTACAACTGAAAATGATATGCCATCTGGAAGCATTCCTCTTGCTCTGCAGAGTTTGTTTTACAAACTCCAGTACAGTGACAACAGTGTTGCAACAAAAGAGCTTATCAAATCTTTTGGATGGGACACATATGATTCTTTCATGCAGCATGACGTTCAAGAACTTAATAGAGTTCTATTTGAAAAACTTGAAGATAAAATGAAGGTGAAAAGCTTCAATAATTTTTCATTATGAATTTATTCTAATGTGAAACCGTAGTCACAGTTTTGATCACCTCTCTTATGCCACCAGGGAACTGCTGTGGAGGGCATCATACAGAAATTGTTTGAAGGCCACCATATGAACTACATTGAGTGCATTAATGTGGATTATAAATCTACAAGGAATGAGTCATTTTATGGTATTTCTTCTTCTTCTGAAATGACTGGTTGGAGTCTGATGAGCCTTGTTCATCATGTGATGCTAAATTATTTTTGCCTATATCAGACCTTCAGCTTGATGTTAAAGGCTGTCGAGATGTATATGCTTCTTTTGACAAGTATGTAGAAGTTGAACGTCTTGAAGGTGATAATAAATATCATTCTGAGCAATATGGATTGCAGGTAATCTTCTAAGAGAATATTAATAGAATGGTTTGAGCATACACACTAGAAATAACTTGATTACTGATAACTTCGCTTTCAGTCAGATCAATTTTCATTAGTACAAGAGCTGCATAAGAGGCCGCCTTGTATTTGACCAGCATGAATAAAATGTGTGGTTCATTGCAGTGTCTGAGTTCCTATAAACCCAATCATTATGTTTTTTTTGTGTTGTGTTCGGCATCATACCCGATTACATGTTACATCTTTTCCCATTTAAACAACTGGATTTTTATTTTGGATGATGTTATTTCAGGATGCTAAGAAGGGTGTGTTGTTCATTGATTTCCCTCCGGTCCTTCAACTTCAGCTTAAACGATTTGAATATGATTTTATGCGAGACACCATGGTCAAGGTTTGAATGATTCTACTTTCAACTCTTGAATAAATAGAAAAGAAGGTTTCTTATTGTCAACCACCCCTCTAACTGCTCTTGATTTTTCCTTTCTGCGCAAACCCCTTATATTCCAAGATATAATTGAAAACTTTATCATTTCAAGAAGTTACAGAAAAACCTGTATCACCTGGGAAAGTTTAACTTCCCCCTTTATCCGCCTTTTCCTTTACCAAATCGATAGCTTTCTTCATGAAAGCTTTTTTCTCTTTTCTGAAGGTAACACAGAGCATATTACTGGTCTCCCAGGTTGTAACCGCCTCCACTGCAATCTCATTCTGCTTTGGAGTAGCCACCGAATCCTCCTTTTCTCTAACGCTCGACCTACTCCTTTCCTTTGATTTACTGTAGACTCTCTTGAAGAAAACTCTTTCATTTCTTCCCACTGAAGCACTTCTCTCCAATGGTCGACCACGATCAGGCGAGGGAGACTCGTTCCGAGAACCCGATTGAGATCGACTCCTATCATCTCTTTCTTTAACTTCGATATCTGACGAATTTCTGGACATACTTTTGCCAAAGCCACACTCACTCCTTGAAAATCTTCTAGGTCTTAAATCTCTATTCAGCCCATCCAAAGAAATATCATCACCCCCATGACTAGACTTAATTAGATTAGGCCAAATAGCCTGTTGAGAGGATTCTTGCCTAGATGGACATCTGACATCCATTCTTCCATTATCCCTGCCCACAATATCAATACCAACCATATCATGCTGCAAGTTGTCCCCACCAACCCCCAACTTATCTCTCAACATTTCTTCATTAACCTTTTGCCTCTAGATGACTCCCTCATTTATTCCAAGTGTATTCCCCATACAACCGCCTGTCTGGTTCTCCCGCATCCATGTCTCCACCAATCCTTAGGAATCCAATCGTGGCTGTTGGACTTCCATCCCCAGCTCCCCATCCTGTTAATTGCTTTGAAAATTTTCCGATGAATCTACTTCCCACTCATCATCAGAATCACCAACATCACTTTTACCATAAGAATCGGGAAAAAACTCATCGATCGACTCCACTTTGATCTTTATCAAATACGATCTTCCATATGTTTTTATAGTAATTGAACTTGGCACATCAAATGGACTAGCCACCCTCAGGAGCATCTGAGCTACACGACAGTCAACCTTCTTCACTTTTTCTTCTTGAATCTTCACCAGCTTCTCCCATCTATTCGCAAACTGTAGCAAAAATCTTCGCTCCAACAATTAAGAGGCACTCCTATTAAAGAGATGGAACATAAAGCTAAAGGAACGCTCCTTTCCTGAGAAAGAGGAGCTAAGCACTCAAACCAGACATTCAACTCTTCAATTTTATTATCTTAAGCTTCCTTTCGTTCTTCCACAGATGGGAAAGTAATGATAGAAGCATTCTTAGCGAATCCCCATCTGGCTACCTTCACATTAACACCCTCATTGCACGTGGCATTTGGAACGAACTCCACAACTTGATTGGATTTGCATATACCAGTCAAGGACGATTTTAGCCATACCCTTTCTTCTGAGGGTACCCTTAGAAACTCTATTTTGAGGAGCCAACAACTTCCTGCTATCACCGACCACCGTCTCTCTATACGTTCTACCATCATAAAATCTGTTAAAAACAACCTGCCTATCTCTAACACGCACGGAAGGATTCTCCGGCGTCTCTTCAATCCCCTCTCTCCAATAGCTTCCGAACTTCTCTGAGGTTGAAGCTTCGGATATCTTGCGACCCCAACAGATTTTTTTCCTTCCATCAACCATGGCGTTGTTCATCTTCTCAACAACATTAAGATCCCCTGACTCGTAAAGTAAACGAAAGCAAAGGTGGATTCCTTGTACTTCGGCCTCTTGTTTACAAAAGGAATAGAGACCTTCTCACCTCTCCATGGCATTTGAACAACTTCCATAAAGCTCTTCTACCGACTCTTCTACTAAGATTATCGACGAAAGCAGACCAGGCTGCTCCAGTGGGGAGTGAACAGACTTTTGGACTCCTAAACTCTCTCATTTTCTTTTCAGTGCAATATTGTGGTTTTATTATAAAACTAAATGGTACCAGTATCATGCCATTTGGGTTTTTCTACTGGTCTTAATAGTCATACCCACCTGACAGTTGGTATAGGAAACAATGGCTAATGAATAATTTACTTAATTATGGATCAAAATAATCAGTACCATTCTAAGGGCAAACTGTTTGGAACTAAAGCTTTCCACTACATTTGTAGATTAATGACCGTTATGAGTTCCCTTTGCAACTTGACCTTGACCGAGATGATAGAAAATACTTATCACCAGAAGCTGATAGGAGTGTTCGGAATCTTTACATGCTTCACAGGTGCGTATAACAATAAGCATTTATCCTGTTTCATCTGTTCTTTCCTTGAGTGTTCTGATAATCCTTAGGTAGACAAGGTGCAGATGCACAGTTTTATGGGACAGAAATATTTCTTTATGACTTTTTATTCTAATAATAATGTTTGTTGCTCACATCTGATTTTGTTTACAGTGTCCTCGTTCATAGTGGTGGTGTGCATGGTGGTCATTATTATGCATATATCAGGCCGACTCTTTCTGATCAGTGGTATGGATCATCTTCTTAAGCATCTTAGGACATGTTTGTATGCTTGTTCTTTGAGATTCTGAAGATGATTTTGCAGAAATTTCACATTTTGAAGTTTTATAAAGGGCTAAATATGAACATGTAGCCTTGATGGGCAGAACCTATGCGTAGCCAATTTTTGATGATGGTTTTAAGGCTTTCTTGGTGGATCAACATTTGACAGATTTGGTGTTAGCAGTCGAGCATTCTAGTGCTAATTACATGAAAGTTTTACCAAGTGCTTCAGTCAAATTGATGCATAATGTTCTTCCAAGCAAAAGAAAAAATGCCGGATTGATTTTTAATTAGTTGGAAAAAAGATTGAACTGTTAAATTCTTAGGCTGCTGCATGATTATTAGATTAGCCGATGCTGATTGTATTGAATGCACTATGTTTACAGCTTTACATATGTCTGTTTTGCTTAGGAGTCCAGAGTGGTGAAAATATTACTTCTTTTTATATATTTACTGCATTCAACTTGTGTGATTTTCAGGTATAAATTTGATGATGAAAGAGTAACCAAAGAAGATACGAAATGGGCATTAGAGGAACAGTATGGTGGGGAAGAGGTACATTTTGTTGAACAGTTTTTTATAAAAAAGAGTTTTTTCGTATTCAGCCTTTCAGCTTTAAATTATATATGTATCTTTGAGGCTTTTGTTTTAATGGAATTTCCTCATGTCTTGACAGCTACCACAGACAAATCCTGGATTCAATAATACCCCTTTTAAATTTACCAAATATTCAAATGCGTACATGCTGGTGTATATACGAGAAAGTGACAAGGACAAAATAAAATGTGATGTGGATGAGAAGGATATTGCAGAACATCTTAGGGTAAGATGCCACTGTTAATCTATTTAATGCTGTAAATGAGCTGAGCCTAAAGGTTGTGGCTGGTGAGGAGCTTGGATTGTAAAATTAACAGGCTCCCAACTAGGGTTGAGCATTAGTTTTATTGTTCCAGTGGTCCAAAAGGATAACAAGTAATATGATTTCAAGTAGTTTATCAACTAAGAGTAGATCAACATATTGAATAGAATGGCTTTTCTCAAGCTTGGCTTGAAGAAATCAATGTGCTTCTTGGGTTGCTTTACCAAGAGCAATCGCAATCGCAAATGAGCTTCTTACCAAGCTGATAGCATGCGAGTTTAGTATTCTATTTTGTCTTAAGAATTATTCTTGTAATTTAAGTTAATAATTTGAGATTCCTTCTTGACAATCTAATATGGAATGTTATTTAACTTCTCCAGGAGAGATTGAAGAAAGAACAGGAAGAAAAAGAACATAAAAAGAAAGAGAAGGCAGAGGCACACCTTTACACTATCATAAAGGTTGTTGTTTGAGTCATTAATTTAGATAATGGTTTGAGCATTGTTGAGTGTGCTTCTTATAGCTATGTTTGTTCTAGGTTGCACGAGATGATGACCTTGCAGAGCAGATTGGCAAGGATGTTTATTTTGATCTTGTGGATCATGATAAAGTCGGGAGTTTCCATATTCAGAAGCAGACAACTTTCAATGTGTTTAAGGTATGGTAAAAGAGACAATAAGATTTTGTTTTCCATTGTTTTAATTGATGCTTATGGTTATATTTTTTTCCATTTTGGAATGATTGGGTTTCTTCACCAAATTGGTACTCTTCTTTTCATATTTTCCTCTTGATTACTACCTTTTTAATGATGTTTCATTAACCATTTCAAGTTGAATCTTAAGTTATCTTCTTGTTCTTTTTTATGATACTTTGTGGTTCTATTTTGTTGTCCATGTTATAATTTTGTTCCTGATTTACAATGTTTCAATGTGCAGGAAGAGGTTGCTAGAGAGTTTGGTATACCAGTGCAATTTCAGCGGTTCTGGTTGTGGGCCAAGCGTCAAAACCATACCTACCGTCCAAACCAGCCATTGACACCTTTGGAGGAAACACAATCAGTAATATTTCTCACCATAAATTGTTATACCATGGTTCAAAAGTCTTGTTTGAGGAGTATTTGTTTCTAGATTTTTTTTCATCCCGTGTTCAACATTGTTTTGTATTTAACTGTCCGTCTTTGAAAAATGCAGAATAATCAAGGAAAATGTTATCTTTTTTCAATTTGATAAGGATCTAACTCTGTGCTTAATTGTCTCTTCCCCACTGTAGGTTGGAACCTTGAGAGAGGTATCAAATAAGGTTCATAATGCAGAACTAATGTTGTTCCTGGAAGTTGAGCTTGGACTGGTAATCTGGTTTAGCCTTTCTAAGCAACATGTTTCTTCTTTGATGCTTTAACTCTCTGTCCAATGATTTTTTTTTGATAGGAATTGAAGGCCTCGTTAAAAAACCCCTTCTTGATTAAAGGATCTTATAGAAAAGCTCCTTAATCAGTGGAAGGAGGAAAAGAGTGCCTAAAGATTTCATTAAACATAAGAAATTACAAGATATATCCAGAGAGCCACCCCCAACATAAAACAAAACACCAAAAACTATCGAATACAACCCTAAACAGCAGCACTGACTCGGCCTAATCCACCTTTGCTACAGCAACAACCTCTAATATGACTGACCAGACTTAAAGCCTGAACTTGGCCTGAAAGACACCACAAAACAAACCAACTGAAAAAAAGCGAAATAAAACAGCTGACTCAATCCATAGAAGCCACAATCTAGCACAAAAGCCATAAGCTTCCACATGATAAGAGTGCAGAGAAGCAAGCTTCGAAAACACTCTATCCGCCTTTCTGCTACTTATTGCTCGACTTGTCGACGGAGACCATCCGAACCTCCAACTCCAAAAACAATGATCATATGCAAGTCACCTTCCAAAACTTCCTCAACTGTAATGCTCCGAAATCAAAACCACTACTGAGCCATTATACTCTATACCCAGATCTTTCCCGACCAGTATGGGTTCTGTCGCTTCCATCTTTTGACTCTGCCCCAATGGTGGAAAGTCAGAATCATAAAGGAATCTGCCATCAAGATCAGACAAAACTTCCTCGCATTGCACCTTCTTCTGATTATACTTGCTTCGGCAGTAACTAGTCTTCCTTTTGGGAGCCGAATAATTGCTATGAAATCTTTGGAGAGAGCTGTGTTTAAAAAAAATCTGGATATGCCTGGAATTGTGCGAGAATAATTCACCCCTCAATTTTCGTGCACCACCGTTGATGGGCAAATCAATTAAATAATCCTTCACTCCCTCCTTAGCACATGCAGTCTTACAACAATTCCTGTTGTCATCTTATCCTCTCTCTGCTCATGATCCAGCACTTCCTCGTGTTCCATCACTTCCTCGTGTTCCACCACTTCCTCGATTTGCGTTTGAACCATCCCCTGACCAGCAGTATTATTCCTCAGACCCATAATAATTTCCTCCCCTATGTTCCTATCCTCCTCGCCCTCAGCCGACAAGGTTCTGCCTCCAGCTCTGTTCCCCATACAGCAAAATAGGCTATCTTCCTCCTCAGAACACCTCTCGGAAATCTTCTCCACCGATGCCTCCACGTTACTTCCTGCCGGCGATTCAGAATCGACAACAACCGCACCTTCTTTTACTTCCAACTTCCGAAGCAGAGAATCACTTTCAACTGTGGGAAATTCCACTACTCTAATTCTAAAAATATCTCTACCTGCTTCCAAGTCTACCACTTCAATTAATTCTTTCCTGCTAGTTGCTATCATAATAGTCATCTCCTCGCAGCCCAATTCCCGAAGAGCGTTATCTCCCAGCACTAAGCATTCTCCCCAAAGCTGTGCTAACCTCTTAAAGGTGCTATGATTCCAACAGTGAAGTGGAATTCCAACCAGTTTAATCCATGTTACTCTCTCCAACGCTCTGTAAGATTCTGACCAAGGTTGAACTTCCTGGAAAACCTCATTTAAAAATGTCCAGTTCTGCTCCTTTAAAATTCTGTACGACTCCTCATCATCTATTTGCAATAAGAAATCTCTCGCTTTCTGTCCAATGATGTTTTTCAGATTATTGTTCTCACCCCCAAAACTAAAATTAACAGATTGACCTGATTTGGTTCTAAAACTTTCTAGTGCGAAAAGTTATCTGTTGTTACAATAGTAAATAATAGAAGTTAAGGGTAGACCTTGAGGACTTAAGCTTCAAAATTTTACTCAGTAGAGTCACTTATCTTCCCTTGACAGTACATGTTTGTGAGGTTTGAAACTTTCTGTATTTTACTAGATTCTGTAGACAAGTTCTGGTTATGAATCTTGCATATGACCTTTTGCTTCTGTTTTGCCCCTTTACCTTTTATAAATGTTTGGGTCTTCTCTTATTTGCATCATGATGTTGGACATAATTGTTCAGGATTTACGACCGATCACTCCACCATATAAAACAAAAGAAGATATTATGCTTTTCTTCAAGCACTATGATCCTGAGAAAGAAGAACTTCGGTAGGGTGTCTCATGTTGTCTATTTTCCCTTGTCTTTTGGATAATTACGTAAAATCTTATATGAGAGTTTAAGGTGTTTGTTGTAATGGTGTATATGACCATAGGAGGATATTCCGTGTTTTCTTATGTATTGGGTATTATTATTAATAAACTATGAGGTACTCTTTTCTTCCTTCCAATGTTCGTTAACATACTTCTTAGTATGTGGACGAATACGAAGGGAGTTTTTAATGAGACCTTCAACTTCTATAAAAAAAATAATTACGTAAAATCTTATATGAGTTATCTTTCTGTTCTATTAGCTATGTTGGAAGGATGTTCGTGAAAAGTGCAGGCAAGCCAATAGAAATTTTGTCCAAATTGAACAAAATGGCAGGGTACGCTCCTGATGAAGAAATCGATCTTTATGAGGTTAGCTTCTAGCTTTATCTTTTTGCATTTGAGTCTTCTGATCAGAGGATTTAACTCTTTTTTTAAACATTTTTACTAGTTATTTTGGTAGTTGAAGCTAATGTATAGGTCTAGATGCGACATTTTCTCCCTTTACTGGATTTAGCTGGAATTAATTGGGCCTATTCTAAACTGTTTTCACCTGAACAGTTGATGGTTAACTTGTTTAGCGGTACCCTGTATACTGTAGTTCTTGGGTTTGGCTGTGACATGGTATCATTTTTCATCTGATTAATTTGTCGTAACCTTTTGCCCAACTTTTGAATTTTTTATGAGGCATAATACTTTGGCTCTTCTTTAATTTCCAGGAAATTAAGTTTGAGCCCAGTGTTATGTGTGAACCAATTGACAAGAAAATCACATTCCGAACTAGCCAGGTATACAGTGCATTTCATTTGTAGTAATTTGTTAGGTAATTTTAATGTGTTCTAATCATGTATATTTTTCGCGGCAGCTTGAGGATGGTGACATAATTTGCTTTCAAAAGTCCCTCCCTGCTGAAAGTACTACTCAGTACCACTATCCAGATGTTCCTTCATTTCTGGAATATGTTCATAACCGCCAGGTACATTCTCTTCATCCTTTATATCTATAGTTCTCTAGTCAGTGAGCTTATACCAACCATTTTCACTGGATAAGAAGTGTGAAGGTTGACCTGTCTGTCATATTGTTGCTTTTTATAAGTTCCCCTTCCCAACATTTGCTTTCAATGAATGATTTGTGTTAGGTAGATCACTCATGCTCCTTTTGGTCCTATCTGATGCCTGGATCGCTTTTGAAATTGTTTGGAGTTATAAAATACGGCTAGCAGTTTGATTCACTCATGAGATTCTGGGGCTAGAGCGCAATTTATCGAGCCCTTCTTTTTTTTCTCCTTCAAATGATTAGTTTGCTAAGCTGAAGCTTAGTGATATATTTCTTTAGGCACGTTTGATGAATTCCTTGACCAGTTTCTGATCTAACATTTGAGGAAAAATATGCCAAAGTATGATAATCATTGTAGATGAATTAAAGCAAAAAATGAATTTATCTTTTAACATTGTTGGCATAAGTTGCATTGTCTTAATGTGCCCTTACATTTGATTGATGAGATGATGAAATTTAAAAGCATCAATACATTTTACTGCTGAATCAGCCATTTCCTTTTATGTTCATTTCCCCAATCTAAAAACATCTCCTACTCTTTGGAAAATGCATTTGGTGAATGAAGATAGTAAAAACGCTTATGGATCTGCATTTTCTATTAAAGAAACTATAAAAATCATGTATAAGACCTTAATATTTTCGATAGGCTTATTTTGCACATAAAGGTGCAGGGGATTGCATAAGAAAAAACTAAATACAAGAAAGCTGCCAATAGAAGTTTCACTTATTGGGTTGATTAATCAGTGTACTTCTTTTTCATTTTAATCCCTTTATTAACCTCTTGATTACCTTCATTCCAACTGAAATTGAAAAGATCATGATAATCCTTGCCAAATACATGTTCTTTTTTCCGATCATATGCAGGGATGTTGTTATTTTCCATCTACTGAAGATAGCTTTTGCCTTTATAGTCGCTTTTTCATCTATTCATGTTTTTGCATGTTTGTCAATTTACAAGGATGTACTGCTACAGTCAATCACTTTGTCATTTGATGCTTCTGTTTTTCTTACTGCAGCAACTGAGTGTCTACTGTTACTTGGTTCTGTAGATGGATACATAGGATTCCTTCATTAATAAATTTGATTTATTTTTAAATTATTAATGTTATTTGAAAGCACTTAAACAGCCTTTTCTATTGTTCTTTAAAAAATAAAAGGAGAAAATGTTCATATCTAAACCTGGTCTTCTTAATCTGTTGGTTGCAAAGAGATGTTATTTATTGATATTTTTATTGTAAGAAAAGCTTGATGAAATTTTAAGAAACGGATCGGAGTCATCTCACTTGACTTTAGTAAACATTCACAATCCTTGATGAAACGTGATTCTTACTAGAAACTTCTCCAGTCTGTCTATGTATTAAGAATCATCTCTCCTTGGGGCTGATGACCAGCTAGTAAAGTTCCTTTTACTCTGCTGTTTTGACTAGAGTGATACTGTCTTTAGATTTTGTCTTAAGGTCATTAATTCAGCATGTGAACTTCTTGGATTCTTTCCTGAGGTATTGATCGTCAATGGATATTATTACATTGGTTGGAAGATACAAGTTTTCAGTCATATGTGCTCTAATAAACTCTTTTTTTTTTTTCCACAAGCTTAAAGTAATATTAGCATTTATTTTTTCCCCTTTTTTATGGTAGGTTGTGCACTTTCGATCTTTGGAAAAACCCAAGGAAGATGATTTCTGTCTGGAGATGTAAGTTCGAATTTTCAGTTGAAGTTGCCATTATTTTTTACATATCTTTAGTAACTGACTGGTAAACGGAAAATTTATTGGTTTGCAATTTGTGCTATTTTTATATGCATGTGAAGATTAATGCTTTATATCTGTTCACTTTTGAATGTTTAGGTCAAAGCTTTATACTTATGATGATGTTGTTGAAAGAGTAGCTCAGCAACTTGGTTTGGTTGATCCATCGAAAATCAGGCTTACTTCGCACAACTGTTACTCTCAGCAACCTAAGCCTCAGCCTATTAAGTATCGTGGAGTGGATCATTTGTCTGACATGCTGTTCCACTACAATCAGGTAATCAAATGGCCTTATTAATGCACATTGAGAAAAGCCTTAAGGATGAAAAGGCTAAAAGCTAACCAACCAGTTGAATTTATTCCTTGACAGACTTCTGATATTTTATACTATGAAGTATTAGACATCCCTCTGCCAGAATTACAAGGTTTGAAAACACTGAAGATAGCATTTCATCATGCTACAAAGGATGAAGTGAGTATGATCATATTTAAGAGTTTCAATAAATGACGTCAAAATTTTGTTTTAATGCAACAAAATTCTGTTCCATCTGATGCCAGGTTGCTATCCATACTATTAAGCTTCCGAAACAGAGCACTGTTGGTGATGTGATTAACGATCTTAAGACAAAAGTAGGTTTTCTTTCATTTTATTGATTAAATTATCACGTTGAAGGAATGTTATGTTTTGTGGACTTTTTCTTAAGAGTAAAACTGCAACTCATCATTTTGAAACAGGTGGAGTTGTCTCATCCTGATGCAGAACTGAGGTTGTTTGAAGTCTTCTATCACAAGATCTACAAGGTTTGTGAACGTTATTTTTTCATGGTTACTTTCACTGATCTTAGTGTTTGATGAGAAAGAAGCACTTTTACATGTTCAATTTAAGTTGACATGGATACCTAGTGTACGCACTGCCAAACACCTTAGTTGCTTCACAATCCTCCAATGGCATTGGTTTTCTTATTGGTTTAAAACTTATCATTTCTTGTTGAAAAGACAGTTTCCTGGTATGGTGTTTTTAGCCGCATATCGCTGTATATCTCATGTTTTTTACTCTTCCTTATTAGCAAATTTGGGTTTCCTGGTCATTTTTTTTCTTTCTATTTATTTCATAATGTTGTATGTTTCTATCATGTTTCCACAGATTTTCCCACCTAGTGAGAAGATTGAGAATATAAATGACCAATACTGGACACTGCGGGCAGAAGAGGTCAGTCGCTTGTCATATACACACACATATCCAGAGAAAGAAATGATGTCATTGCCATCTCCATCCTGCTGTGATCCAAAGAATCATCTCATAGCTTATCGTCTTCTCTAATACATGGAGTGAGGGTTTTGATATTTTCCCCTTGATGTACAGATTCCAGAGGAAGAGAAAAATCTTGGTCCAAATGACCGACTAATTCATGTTTATCACTTTACTAAGGAGACAGCTCAGAACCAGATGGTAACAAGCGTGTTGCATTATCTTATTTTCTGTTTCCTTCCTTCCTGATCAATATTATCCTTACCACTTTAACCTTATCTTGTTTTTGACAGCAAATTCTGAATTTTGGCGATCCCTTTTTTTTGGTGATTCATGAAGGTGAGACTTTGGCCGAAATAAAAGTTCGAATACAGAAGAAGCTTCAAGTTCCAGATGAGGAGTTCGCTAAGGTTTGTCCTAAGTTAACCTTGTGCTCACTAATTTACTCTAGTTATACTGTGGTCACTCTTCTTTCTCTTCTCTTCCCCTTTTGGGTTCGGGGAAATAGTTATGATTTGATGCATGTTAGGAGCCTCAATGGCTGCACGTACACTGTTAATATATATATATATATATATATATATATATTGAAGTGGCCATTTTGTTTTCACTTCTGTTTGAGTTTATATATATATATATATATATGTGTGTGTGTGTATATATATGTAATTAAATTTACTTGAAATCCATTTTCTTCAGTGGAAATTTGCCTTCCTCTCACTTGGCCGGCCAGAGTACCTTCAAGATTCTGATATTATATCTAATTGTTTTCAGGTGCGTGCACTAAACCTACAGATATTTGAAAGTTTTTGTAGTTTTGCTATATTATTGTTCCTTAATTTTGTTTCTACTAAACTCAGAGGCGAGATGTTTACGGTGCTTGGGAGCAGTATCTTGGATTGGAGCACTCTGACATTGCTCCTAAAAGAGCTTATGCAGTTGGTCAGGTAATTGCTCTTTATTAAGAAGTTTGGGTTACATATGAATTTTAGTTAAGGATGCATCTAGCATTGGGAATTAGGGTATTCTTTGGTTGTGTATGCTTTGTCTTTGAGGCTATGACTAATCTAGGTTCTTTCCATGAAAATGACTAGTCTTTGATGAGCCTTTGTAGTTGACTATAATTTGATATTTTTCCATGCTTCGTTGCAGAACCGGCACACTTTTGAGAAGCCAGTAAAAATCTACAATTAGGGAATATTTTAGATTACCTTGATAAAACATTGCACACAAGTCTGGCTATCTACATGGATTATTTAGAGTGGGGAGGACACTTGTGACGATGTGAGGCAACAAGTTAGCATTAAGAGTCTACGACATTTGCACGTTGATTTGTCAGATAAGTAATTCTTTTTGATAGTGTGGGTTGGAAGGACTTCCTTATCTAATCAAGCGTGCAGCTAAGAATGTCGGTTGTGATCGCAACTTACATGTTTAAAGACACGGAGATGGAGGTTAAGGGCAGTTCCATTTGGAGTAATGAGGTCAGTTGCCTGTATAAGTTGACAGTACATAAACAAGATTTTGGAATAGTGAGACATGTATACATAGTGAGAGTATAGGTGGGACTTGGGAGGCTATTGTCATGAATCCCCACCCTTGTTTGCTACTTGATTTTGTCCATGTTGATGATGATTGATACATTTGGCAAAAATATTGGGCTTTTCAAATGGTTTTGAAATTTGATTGCCATTCTTTGCAGTCCCAAACTCTTGTTCAGTTCTTTGTATGTGTGTTCATCACAGCCGCTAATGGGCTGTTTTTCATTCCTATATTAAAGACGAGATACTTCAATCCTATTTCCTGTCAAAGCATGCCTTCAGCCAATCTTCGTGTTCATGGGCATACCTCTTGGGACCTTCCAAACTAATTCATCTCTCTCGGGCATTCTGGTCTATTTTTTAAAGAACCATTTAGCAATGTTAGTGCAAGTATAAATGATTTGATTGTTAATTTAAAAATTATCAGTCAAAATGGTAATTATCATACTAACTGGGAATATGCGCCAACGTTTCGGGCTTCAGATTTTGATTATTAAAAAAAATACTATTTTTATTAATCCTTATATTTTCATTAACAACCATTTTTCAAAATATTTAATATTCAAACGAAAGTTTTTAGAATATCATAACCTATTAGAACGATTATAAATTATAATATCAAAGGTTGCCTTTTTTGTTGTTGAAATTAGTATATTTCCTAAATCATTATATAAGAATGGAAGTTATACAAATGTTATATGATAAGCAAAATTGGTAATGTCATATTTATATTCATATAACATAATATTTTATCCCAAAATAAGTTGTCAGTTAAAAATATAATCGATATTATTCATGGTGATAATATTATATATGAATACAAAATTAAAGAAAATATTAAACGTTGGTAGAAAAGTTTGAATCTTTAATTTATTTAAAAAGAGTTATTTTAAAATTTTAATATTATAGAATGTATACATTTTGAAAATTAATTGTTATTAAAATTAATAATTAAAATTTAAAATAAAAATAATAATAATGTGAATGCAATTTTATTTTGAAAAAAATCAAATGATTGAAATAAAAATCTAAAAATGAATAAAGCATCAAATTAGATGGTTTACTCAAAAATTTATTCAAACGGGAAAAAAATCATCTTGCTCTATTTTACTTTATCTTCTCGATCCAAGCTTAGGGTTAAAATCTTCCGACCCGCTCTCAAGTCCTCTTCACGCATTTCCGCCGCCAAACAAGCCTCGTCTTTCTCTTCTTCTCACTTTATCCATTTCCCTCTGCTCATCGGCCAGTCCCTGACTTAATCTTTCTATCGCCATCAAGCTCCCGACAGACCGGAAAATCAAATAAATAAGGTAATTTTCGAAACCCTAAACTTATGAGAATTTCCCATTTGCTTTCTTCATCACTCTGCTATATTTGAATTTTCTTTTTACAATCACAATAGTATTAGCATGTGGCTTTTATCATTTCTTTGTTGTGGGAACTTAATATTTGTAGTAGACAAGTGTGAAGTTTCAATCTAGTTAGCTGAAGGTCTTGCTAATTAGTAATAAGCTGTATTATTGATGTGTGGATTTTTGGGGGGTGGGGGGGTGCTATTTCTAGTAATTAAACTTGAAATTTATCCCCTCCTTATGCAATGACTTAATACTTTTTTATATTAGTTTCTTGTGAAATAATGTGTCATGAGATTTTGTTTGTGGTTGCTATCATTCTTGTTAGGTTCAATATTTGAAGCTTGTTTCGAAGTAAGACTGATGAGACGACAGGGACAATATGCGGACTCTGGTGGGAATGCATATGCTTCTGCTCAGATGCAGCATGCTCCTGCACAGAGGATGGAGGTTAAGCCTGGTCAATTTCAAGGACAACTAGAAGCATTTACCCCTGAAAGGGATCAACCATATCAAACTCCAAAATCAGATGGCCAGTGGAGGTGGGAAAGAGATGGATCGAAAGTGTCAAATCCAATGACACCCAAAATGTTCAACGAAGGCAAGATTGTTTTCTACGCTCTCTCTCTCTCTACATGTGTGTCTTAACTAGATGTAGAGAACCCATCATCAAGTATAAACTATGAACAAGGACATTATAGCTGTACGACCGATATTAGATGTGGGTTATGGCATTTGGACTTCAATTTGCACCTTAGCATAATTGCTTGAACATCTTGTTAGGGATGCTTTCTAAATCTTAACTAAAACAAATGTAGAATATCTTTTTTTTTCTTGTCTTTACTCGAAAACTGAGAGCTACTCCAAATCTTCTTTGCAACCGGGCCATTCCTATGGCACACTAAACATAAAATGGAAGTTTATGCTATTGGCATGCTCCCCTGGTGAAAAAGAGGTTTAGACCACACCTTTTAAAATGAAATATAATTTATCCCATAAAGTGTTAAAGCACTTATGTTTAGATAGGTAAATGTTTCATGTTTGTAATGTCCCATTAAGTCCTTTACTTTATGGTTTGTGCATGCCCCTTTTGAAGAAAGGTCTTATCAGCTTGTGACATTCATAGACATTTATTTTAAAGTGCCACTGAATGCGGTACATGATGTGTAATATGTGCTTGTAGCCTTGTAGAGCCTGTGGCAGGCCAGGTCATGTTACCTTGGAGTGTTGGTATTTCTTATTCCAAATTTGTTGACCTGTTTCTCTTAGTGTACTGTAATTATAATCCTTGTTTTTGTTCCCCATATTTTGTTTTTGCTCTTAAAGCATGGTCTATTTATTTTTAATAATTTTTCCAAGTGAGACATAAGAAACACATAATGAACAATAAGGAGTTTTGTATGTTGCTTTTACTCTTCATTTTTCCTTAAATAGTGATGTACGATGCATATCCACACAACATATGAGGATATCCCTCCAAATACTAGGAAATCATGGAAAAATTGAGCATTCCGGTGTCAGACACAGTGTTGTTTGACACTCGCAATCGTGTTCGAGTAATATGTGTGTAACACAAGCTGGCTGATGATTGAATGTGTTGAAGTACATTTTTGCACAAATGCTGTGATTGATTGAGGTTCTTCTAGTACTCTGATATATTTATATTCTTAAAGAACTGGGAAAATGGCACAAGATGGAATGTCTTTGCTTCATTATTAATGGGGCTTAAGGGTGAGATGGGCCCATTATAATAGTAAAAATAATTGTGATTTGCCTTGTTTTTATTTTTACATGTTTGATGTATTTTCTTTTTATACTTAAAAAAATCTTTTAATTTCACACTTAAAATTTGTATTGGACCACTGCTCTTATTGGATCTGTTTAATGTGACATAGGCCAGGGGACTGATGGATCAAGAATGTATTTCCAGGGCCAGAGGCCAGATCCCAACCTATCTTTAGAAAAACAAAATGCTGATATCAGATCTCGACCCCATGATGAAAATATGGAAGTTGGCTATGAGCAAAATGTTCTGCCACCAACTTTGGAAGGTCTTGAGAAGAAATTCCATGATGACATGATGAAGCTTGCTAAAGAACAGAGCGAAGCTGAGGATGCAGAAAATACTAGACATAGAGAGGTGTGTATGTAGAGTTCATTTTTCTTCATATTCTCAATATTAGCTGCTTATGTTTCGTTGTGTAATTTGCAAAACCAATTTATACAAGGAAACTTTTTCCATTACATGTTTGCCTGCTTGCGCTAATCATTCAGAATGCAAATTCTAAAAGCAGTTGTTTTCTAAAAAACTGGAACTTTTTCATCATAATGTTTTAGTCAGTATTTTCTCCTTTGCTTGGCAGTTGTGGTCCTGTGGATATAAAATATGCAACTTTGTGTTCTGTACTTGCTGTTATTCTGGACAGGCAGTTTATATGTACGAACTAGTCATTTATAGTTGCCACCTTTGTCTAAAGGGTTGGCTTCATTTAATAGGGTGTATTTGAGAGGGGCTATTCTTCAGGTATGCTCTTCCAATCTAAGCTTGCAGGGTAACTTATCGAAAGTCATTGATTGCATGCAACTGCATTTGACATAAACGATGCCGATGCCTTTGTACAGAAGCTTAATTATTTAATGAAGTAAACTGGCATATGCATTCTTGTTCTCAGACACCTTTCCACTTTTTATATGTTACTTGGTTAACCTTGTTTTCAACAATATTGCATAGGTTTTGCATAGTGGTAACAATTTTTTTTTAAATTTTCAGAAAATAAATGCAATCAATACTCAATATCAGGAACAGCTAACAGCACTTCGAGCACGGCATGCCAATCGCAGAGATGAGCTCCTACGAAAAGAATCTCTTGCACGACAACAGCAATACCAGCAGGCAATGATGGACTATTATCCTCATACTGGTAATAATCCCCATGGTTATGGTAGCATTGCTGGTCCCGCTGCTGTTGGAGATGCATATAGAGGTTATAACACTGATAACTTTGACTCCTACGGAGAGAGGTCTCGATTTCATGGGGGTGCCAGGGATCAGGGGTTTGAACCTAGAGGTTCATACCAGGGAGGGCGTGCATATGATACTGGTTCACGATATAACTGAGTTTGCTTAGCTTGATTTGGCTACACCCTCTTGGTATAGTTCTGATATCTACCCTCAGGGATGTTGACATGCTATCCTGAGGTTTATGTTACATTGTCTGCAGTTCTCTAAGCCCTGTTGGCTTCCTGTTATGATTCATGGAAAAGGCGATCTTTTGTTTCTCTCCTCATCTCTATGGTTTTTTAAAGACATTTCCGTTGTTAATATAGCTGTTTTTGCAGTTTAAATGCAACTAATTGTCCTAAAAAAACCAATGGTCCATTCAATTATCGACAAGTCACTTTGTGCCATAGAGCATGAATAGAGGCCATGGTTGAAATTTAACATACCCGATGTTGATAGTAAATGGAACATAAACAGGTGATCAAAGTTAATTTTTTTTACGAGAAGTCTTATGGTTCGTGTTTTGTGTTAGATATGACATGGATGTTGTCAAAATGTTACAGTTTTTTCATGTGTGCCAAAAGAAATTGGCTTCGACCTCGAATCCTTTATTGAATCGATTTAGATAAAATGATTCAACATTAAAGTAAGAACTACTATTTTGGCACAGTGAAAAATAAATGTTTCACAAGCTACGGATAACGTTGTACGGTAATAAAAAATTATGTTGAAAACCAGAATAAAGTTCAAGAGAACAAGTGCCTGAAACAATTATCAAGTAGAATCACATTGACCTTGGAGGCTGTCAAACTAGAATTTCCATCTTCAACACTTTGAGCGCCTCAAAATTATATATATTCATGAATAAAGCTAAGAATTACATAAGCTATTGGTGTTTGGGATCCAAAAACTTATTTATTTCTCAGCATATGTTCCATTCTGGATCAGTTCTCAAACGCCAACTTGTTTCATGTCTGCCAAATATCCATAAAAAATGGAGCATTCTGGAAATAGAACATTTGATACACAATCAGAGAAGTCGTGCTCTTTAAGAAGTGAAGACGTACCAGAGATAATGTCAAAGCAAAAGAACTAAGATGTGTAAGAAAGTTGGATACTAAATTATTAGCATGCTATTTTGATGTTCATGTGTAGTGCAGCACCATGTCACTAGGTCTCAGGCGAGGATTTCGAGTATGGACACATATCCTATACAAGTATGTTCAACACTTCAAAACTATTTTTCATGTATTTGGAGGGTTAAATTTCCATGCCTGTGTTCAGCAATATGCGTGTGAGTGAGTATAACTTAAGAAGATATGAATTATAAGAGATAATGATAACTATGCAGAACCGATCATCCTCGTAATAGTCAACTTCAATAACTTCAATCGGAAATGATCATTTATATGCTGCAACTGAAAACAAACATCATTTCAACACCTCAGCTTACCTTTTTATGCTAAAACATCGTTGGGTGATGCAGATATGAATACAACACTTATTTGGAAGCAGAACTTGTGGCACAAGAAGCTACTGCACTGGTTTCAGTCGAAGGAGTTTCTCCACCAGCACTGGAAATTTGTTGACTATTTGATTCTGGATTGGACCTGTCTTCTGAACTGTTTGATACAGTAACCGTGCTAGTTCTATTATCTCGGGTTTCTAAACGCTCCATCATTCGCGAGACTGTTGCAATGCCAGCATTAACCTCTCTCCTAACTTGAGAACCAAGATCTGACAAGGAAGTGTTGCGAGAGAAAAACCTCTCTTTCCACCCCCTTGTACTCTTTGAAATTGACACCTTGTATCTAAAATTACCCATAACTCGAAATATAGTCACATTTAAAAATATATTATGTAAAAGAAATCATTGAAATATCACCCTGGGGATAAATAAAATCTCAAAAGTTTGTCATGTTCAATACCTCACTGAAGCAGCATTAAACTTTGATTTTAATGATTCTGGAGGCCCTGCTCTATCATGACTATTAGGAGATTGATTAGGAGACCTCCAGCAAGAGAACAACAGAAGATATTATTGCGATTGCCGTAACCAAAGGGATGAATTCTAAAGGGATTCATCTCAGAAAAATAAGGAGAATCGAGTTAGAAAACAGCAAGTACCTATTGTTCAAGCCTTGATCGTTGACCAAAAGAACACTGGAGCCAGATGCCGAGGCGGACTGTTGATCAGCTTGGACAGAAGGTATAGGAGAAATTGATGCTGAAGATTCCTCCCCCACAGTTCTCTCTTGAGAGGATGGAGTGCCAACGGCGTTTGCAGGGGTTGGCTCACCTCTCTGAGTTGGGGATGATGAAGGTAACGGGCTAGTAGAGGGAGCGTTCGGATGAGATGAAACTACCAAGAACCGCGGACGAGCTTGAGCAGATGACCTATTCCTCGGACCTTCCCTTCTTGCAATGTGACGTGCTCGCCCCATTGCAGCAGCAGCAGCAGCAGCAGCAAAGTGCTGCATTATGCGCTCCTCGAGCTCAGCTTCATTTGCCCCCACAGGCAGCTGTGTTCAGAGCAAGCCATTAGAATGTGGCTCCTTCGGCTTTAGGTTCAATGTGATGATCATAGAAAGAGTATGACATAAATCTAATAAGATGACTAGAAATACATACATGTAGGTCAAAATTTCCCGAAGTCGGATGATAGAATATGGTTGCATTTCTAGATGGATTGAATCTAAAACTCCTGGCTGCCAAAGCGAAAGAAACTGTCAGCATCCAATGCACACCGGCTAGAGGAATCTAAAGCAAACATATGAAACTTTGAAGAAAAAAAAGGGGAAATAAACAATAGATGAAACTTCACCTAATTGGATCTTTCAGGCTAATTGTCTGCCAACACATGGGGCACTGAGAACTCCTTTGACACCTGCACGACTAGTATATCAAATGATCTTCAAAAACATAACCCATAAATTTACATCAGATTCTTTCATCAAGTGGAATTATTGCAGATCATGAGGGCCATACAGTTCTAGTATGTAATTATTTTATGACCCTCAGCCCAGAATAACTGAAGTCGTCACTTTCCAATGACATTCTTTGCAGATTCTTCTCAAACATCCCATCTAAAGACTTCAAGTTTGAAGTTTTCACTTTTTCAAATCTTTACTAGAATTATAGATCACTGTTCAGTACTAGTTCTGAGATCGAACGACAGTAGGGTGGAAGAAAATCCATCATTTTAAAATGGAGATTTCACGTGAATGTGACATCCAAAACAAGTCATCTCTATTACTGTCTATCATTTCAATATTCCATATTCCTCAAGTATTTGAATAAACAAAATTTCAGAAATATTTATCTCCACACCCATGCGAGAAAAGCTCCAAAAACCTCCATTGACACACCATACTACTAATGTACCACTAAACACCTCTATATCATCACCATACCCTATATTTCTGTTCCTCGATAAAATCCTTTGATGATGGTAATGGATAAGGCGAGAGAAGCAGTTTCAACAAATAACAATAAGCGGCATCTACAAAACTGTTATACACACTCAACAATAACTCAAACTTCATTCAATCAACATAACTGACATCTAAACCCTAAGGCAAGAATGTGAGCTAAATTAAATCTTTCTCAGTTTTACTAGTGAATTAGAGAATTGTATGAAACTGTCATTTCCAGACTGATTTATAACCCAAGTAGATAACCGCTTTCAGAACCAGAACTAGATCATCGATCCATTGCTAATTATATGTGCAAATTCAACCAGAACTAGATCATCGATCCATTGCTAATTATATGTGCAAATTCAACCTGAACTAAGAACTATAATTAACTTATAAACTAGGTAAGAGATTCATACTACCATTCAAGAACGCACTGCAGATGAAACTCGTGCTTGCAGCTTGTCATCTGTAAGCAAAAGAACAATGAACAAACAAGGATCAAAAGATTGTCCATCCCCGTATCGGAAAAATATCCAAAATAAAAATTTCAGGCAAACATACAGTAGATGGATCGCTTTCGCAAAATTCTTCAAGGCATATGCTACAAGCATCCTGGATTCCACCTTCCACAAATGCTGAAGCAGAGGTTAAATGCGCCTCGGACTTGGCATCTTCCATAACCTACAAGGCCAAGCACCAACAATGTATTTTCAATCTCAATTCCAAATTTTACCATTAAGAAAATGAAACTAAACCAAGTCTTGGGGTACAAAAGTGGAACCAACGGTGACCACTGACCAGTAAAAAAAAGTTCCAACACCTTGGTAAAGACTTATCCATTTTAGTCCATGTATAATCAATAATGAAGTTATAGACACCATAATAATCCGATGCATAAAATCAGTTATTCTAACGTAAGATCAACAAAATTAAGCCCTGGAAACATCAAACGAAATAAACTTTGCTAAAACAGAAACTCCAATACTCAGAACCGATATTTAAAAAATCCAGGCAAATTCATCAACTTTTCCCATAAAAATATTAAAACTTTTAGATCCATCTTCTGACCGGCCAACCACCTCCGAAAAAACACGGAAACAACAATCAAAGAAACACCCACAATATACTCTTACCTCCATTGGATAGTTCAAAAGAAAACCAGCTGATGATCAAGATCAACCCAGCAGATCGATTAATAAAACAGGACGTTTAAAAATAACTAGAAAGAAAAGTCTGAATCTGGGGTTATTTTTGCTCTAATCTTGTAGATTGTTGTTTGGGGAATAAACGAAAGGAACGACTTTTATTGTAGTGTGAAACTGAAGAGTGAAGAGAGCGGTGGCGAGTAAGAGAAGACTTGGGAGTTTGGTGGGCATTAGAGGGAGTGAAAGCAAACGGAGAACCTAAAGGTGGGGTCCTCTTGAGTCCGACGTGGCAGATTCACTGTAGTACCTCTGAGACTCTTTTCTCTCTTTTAATCATTCTGCCACTCCCACCTTGTTAAGAAATTGGTTAAGTATGATATTCAAGAAACATTGAATATTTCTCATTCATTCCAATAATCGGATTACATTGTTTTATAGCAGCTACCAGAAGCGTAGTTCTAGTCTAGAAGTTTTGTAACTACCTTAACTGACTACTAACAGCTCTAACAATTCTTAACTGACCTTAGTTACTTAGCTCTAATATTCTCTCTACTTTCTCCTCCTCCTTCAACAAAGTAACACGTACATCTTAACCCTAAACAATTGAAAAGATGAACAATTAAATCGAAAGTGCGGATGTTTCCTTCCGTTCACTTGAATCGAAAGTGTCGATGCTTCTTTTCGTTCTTCTTGAATCGAAAGTGCCGATGCTTTCTTCCGTTCATTTTGAATCGGAAGTGCTGATGCTTCCTTTCGTTCTTCTTATTCACCTTCATTTCTTTCTTCTTCACCTTCTTTTACAAGGTTCTTTGACATATTTTTTTTATGGACTCTTGGCTGTGAAGTCCCATGACACTTTGAGATAAAAGCAACAAAATGAATATAAAATTAAACTTCTGTTTACACACACAAAAATTATACAACTATGCTACTTCAGTGGCTAGCTGTAACATCCTCAATATCGGGTTAGTGACCAAATTGTAAAGTTTCAGAATTTGGTGACTAAAGTATAAGAATAAAATAGTTCAATGATTATTGGATACATATGATGAAGGTTATTTTGTAATTGTTAAAGGAAATAAAGGGTAAAATGGTCATTTGATCATTTAATGAATTATATACACGTGGGAAATGGGAGAAATATCCAGAGTTCTCTTCTCCTTTCTTCTTCTTCATGCGTGGGAGAGCAAGGCAAAGGTGAGAGTTTTATTAGTTGATTATTAATTGAATTTTAAGCTTGGTTTTGATCTTTAGTTGATGGATAAACATAAGGAAAGCTGGGTTACAGTAAAAATCAAAGAATGGAGGAGTTAAGAGATTAAAGATTTGGAGTTTTTATATGAAACTTTGGAAAAGAATTGATAAGTAGAATTTGAAGTTAAATTTGACTTGTCAATGGTTAAATTAAGAGATTTGGAGTGATAGAATTTGATTTAGAACACATTGAAAATTTGGTATGATTTTTGAATCTTATATGGATGATAGGATTTTGAGGTTTAAGATGAAATAAATGAATAGATTGGTTTAAGTATGTGTACTAGAGTTAAGAATAAAAAGGGGATGATATATGAAGTGTTTGAGAGAAAATGAAGTGATTTTCGAGCTAAAAAATATGATTTCTGGGCAAGGGGAATCGGTACCCATTCAAGGGGAACCGATACCCCTTCAAACGACAGAATTCCAGAATGCCAGAGGGGAACCGATTCCCCTAAAGGAAATGTTATATTGGTTTAATAAGTTCGTTTAAGTTGCTAGTATCCAATTAAAAGGTGTAGGTATCTAATAATTGTCTTAAAATGTATAATTATGTAGATTCAGAGCCTAAACGAGTTCCGGAATCATTGACAAGTAAGATCGATAAAAGGGAAGATAAGAGATTGAAATGGATTAGTGAGGCCAGGTGAGTGCATATGCATAGCATGATTATGTTAGTTTATTCAGTTCTAGACTTGCGATAAGTCTAGATTTAATATTTTGATACATGATTCATTCAATAGTATGAAACATGATATGAATTCATACCATAGCATTATTTGATATGCTTGAAATGAACATGCATGAAAAGTTACATGTGTATGGGATACTATGGGATAGTGGTAAGTCTATTTTCCATAGTAGAGCTTATATAAATGAGTGTATGTGATATATATTATTGCATATGTTACATGAATTGTGAATATATGTTAGTGAATAAGCTATGTGAACTAGTATAAATAGTTATGTGATTACATAAGTTATATGATATAAACATGTGATATAAGATATAAGCTAAAGAATTATAGGATATGAGATAAGATAGACATAGTGGTTATAAGAGACATGATATGAAAAATAGGAGAAAAGGAAAATGTGATATGTGAAAGTGAACTATATATATATATATATGAATATGAGAAATGAATAAGCATTGACTATAAGTATATGTGCTCTAATGATATGACTTATAGGTATTTATTATAATGTTACATGATATGTTATGTATGTTAAATGAATTATGTGAGGGTATAAGAAATGATATGAAATAGATATGTGAAACAAGTATGTTATGAGATAAGACCTATGACTATAAGCTACGTAAAGGTGTTCTAGGTGTTTCTATATGTTATATGAAGTATATGATCTTATGTGAACAAGATATGATAAGTATCATGAATAAATGTGATTGGGTGAGAAATGATAGAAATTATATAATAACATGATAGGTGATAAAACCGTAAGCCTATATGATTATGGTTATATGTTACATGATATGACATGCAAGTTACATGAACAAATGAGAAATGGTATAAGTCATATGAAACGATCTACGTGAATACATGCACTTGTGATACATGTGATATGATATGAGATATATGGTTACACATACCTGTGGTATGTGACAGAAGAAAAGAACAAGTGATACAAATGTATAAATAAATGCCCATAGTATATGATACGAGAACTATAGGTATAGTTGGCATGCCAAGAGTCGAGGGTTTACCTATGTTCTACGGAACATATGGACAGTTTTACCTATGTCTTTCGAGACATATGGACAGTATACCTATGTTCTAAGGAACATATGGACAGTTACCGAGGATCTTTATGACCTCTGGACAGTTACCGGGGTCTGTGTGACCTCTGGATAGGTTTCTTCGGGACATTATATGAGCTGTGGTGACAGCATAGTGGTGCACAACCTCAATAGACTCACATATCTACAGTTCTCAGAGGTGCACATGGGCTAATAAGAGATAACATGGAATGTACTGTATATGATATATGTGTGTTAGTGATTATGTATATGCTATAAGATATATGATATGAGCTTAATGATATTGAACAAGAGAATAGAAATATGAAAGGTGATAAATAGATGAGGAAAGAAGATAATATATGTATGTGTGGATATGTATATATATATATATCTATATGAAAGGTGCATAGTAGGAATCATTACATGTATATGTGGGTATGGGCTTGTATGTGATATGTTAGTAGAAATTGTCAAGCATGATTACGAGTTAGAGTTTTTATATATGTTTTATGCCTCACTAAGTCAACAACTTAGCGTGTGATTGTTTCACACGTAGTTACAGAAGTGAGAAGATAAAGAGCTAAGAGGAGCAAGACAGGTCAGTTCTCCTTACCCAATTGTCAGATCAGAAAATATATGTACGGTATATAGAGTGTAGTTGGCATGTAGTTAAAGATATAAATTGTATGAACTCTGATATTTTGTAAACGTTTTGAATAAGTTAAATGTTATCCAAGTTTTTGAATTACTCACTATTTTATACGAATAAATGTTTGAAAAGTCAATGTGACACTTCGGACTCCGGGTCGGATACGGGTTGGGGGTGTTACACTAGCTCCTCATTCGCTTTTCGTAAGTGCCGAAGAATTGCATCAGTACTAGTGATCCCCTCCGTCTTACCGGTGGTGCTCTCGTCAGCTGAGGAGCCATCGTTGGCTACAAGGTATGTAATTCTCCCTAAATTCTCTCAGTCAAAACAAAAAAGAAGAAAGAGCTGGTGTGATTTTGAGAAAAACAGGTAACCTTGCGACAGTCTAATTGTAGATTCATTTTTGAAACGGATTTTCAGATCAGCAAAGAAACACAAAGGAAAATTGAGACATGAAAGATAAAATTGGAAGAATAAAACGAAATACAACTAGCAATTTAGAGGGAAATTTAAACAACGCGGAGGAATAGCCGAGAATCTCGAAAGATCATTCTGGTTAGTATATATATATATATATATTTTTGGTTCAATTACAAATATTAAATAGTTGGGGTAAATTTATAAAATGATCATTCGATTATAAAATATTATTTTTTGAGTTTATAAACTTTTAAAAGTTACAAAATAATCACTTAATTATTCATTATATTTCAAATTTATCATTTTCTGTTAAAAATATGACAACAATTTAAGTTGAATGTTAATATGTTATGTGAGATATGATAAAATTTAATTTCAAAATCTCAAATTACTATAAAAATTATATTATCATCCAACTCAGGTTTTCTAATTTTTAATTGAAAATAATTTTGAAACATAATAAATAATCGAATGACTATTTATAATTTTTAATAATTGATGAATTCAACAAAATAAAATTCTATAATTAATTGATAATTTAATAATTTTTAATAGTCAAAATATTCTATAAAACAATTTCGTATAATCTAGAAATCGTTTATATAATTTACCCTAAATAGTACTAAGATAGAAATACAGCCTAATTAAGGAAATGGGTCAATACTTGCACAACTTTATTTGAAATCATTTAACATAATTCATATTATGATTAGATTTTGAAATCTTATATAGGATTAATTATTTTCTAAGTTTAAAAACGAGCAAGTTGATTAAATAAGCCCTTTTATAGATAAACACCTAAGTCAAAGTTTTATAGATAAACACCTAAGTCAAGTTGATTAAATTGGCTGATGGCATCCACGTGTTAGCTTATAGGGGGTCTAGAAGATGAACGGGCGTAGATTGTCCAATGCTAAATGTTTTTGACCGGCGAGTAGATTGGATTTGAGTGGTTTATATGTCATTTTCTATGTATATTTTTTCCAGTCAAAATGTTTGTTCGGTTGCTTCTATTTACTTCCACCGAATTGTTTTCATTCAACAAAATTTTAAAACATTTAATACTATAATTTATTTTTTTTATTTTTAAAATTGACTTTCCTTTCTTTTAACTCTATTGCAAGAAAATAAGTTCATGTTTGTCATTGAAGTTCTTACAAGGTTGTCCAGTAGATCCAATGAAGAATATTAGGCAGGAGTTTTAACAATTTTTTAGTTATTACTATATTTTATAATTAATGTTAGATATTTGTGATAAATTTTCAAAATAATATTTTAAAATTCGAATAAAAAATGACTACGGGCACCGGAGTTGGGATCAAAATACCCTTATAAAGGTATACTTAATTACGGAAGTTCTACCGTACGACAATCTAATATACAGCTAAGAAAAGACATTACTAGTAATGTTATTATTTTTTTAACATTTCCAATAAAAAAATTACCTAAAATATTTTTTAACTAAATATTAATATTTTTTAACATTTCCGATAAAATGCCTAATATTAATATTTCAATAGAAAAAATAATTTTTAAGTAAGTTTTACCGGATATGTTAACAAACCCGGTAAAACATCAAATAATAACATTTCGATAGAAATAATAATATTTTCAATATTTTTTACCAAAAAATTAAAAAAGTTAACATTTTGATAACGTATTTTCATATATTGGGATCGTGATTTTCCTCATAATTACAGCACAAATTACATGCATACTTGACAAGATTTCGAGTTCTGAATTACTGTGGATCCACCCCTAACAAGACCTTAGCCTCCTGGAAAGATTCCCAAACACTTTGTAAATCTGCTTCCAGCTTTTCAGACAACAAACCCGAACGAGACAACAATTGATTTAGCTTCTGCTCAGATGCAGCTCTCGTTGTCCGCAACTGTTCTAGTCTCCTTAATTCGAGCTTCAATTCTTCATCAATGGCATTCATCTGCGCCTCTGTCAGATCTGCATCAAAATATTCTGCTGATACTCCAAGATCAAACCATCGATTTCAGCTTTCCCATCCTTTGCTGTTTCGAGGAGGGTTCTTTATCGTGGATTGTACCTTGCACGGCAAGCTTCAACTCATCCACTGACTTTGATCCTTTTTGTATTTCCATTGACACGGCTTCGATGTCGTGTTCTACCTTCGTCAGCTTATTGTTTAAATCCTGGTGTCTCATTTTAATGCCTGCCAAGCTTTCGCGGGACGACTTGATCTCGTTCTGAAGCTTGCTTTTCTCTTCTTCAGTCTTCAGTAACTCGGTAGCTTTGCCAACTAAACACTAGTTTCTCTGCGAGGGATCGACTTTATCCAAGTTATGGATGGCGAATAAAACCTTTTCATTCTCCTGTCTTTTGCTTTCTTCCTCGAGCTTTGATTTTAAAAGGACAATGTTGCTCCTTGTTGCTGATTCGGATTCCCTTATCTTATTCAAGGACGCTTCGATTTCGATCTTGGAGTTCTTTAGATTGGCCAATTCTTCTTTCTTGTTGTTCAAGTAGGACAATGAGGCATTTAGTTTCATCCTTGCTTGAGCTTCTTGTTGTTCGAAGAAAGCAACTGGGGAGGAAAAGCTTGAAAGGTGAAATATATGATTTTTTTTGGGTCATATCCCTCAATGAAAGTTTCATTACTTTCTAATTCAGACATCAAATATTCGTGGGTTTCTTTGATTTGTTACTTTCCCAATCTTTTGTTGGTTTGATGAGCTTGGATTTGAGTTGCAAAAGGAAAAGAAATGTAACAACTGAAAATGATATACAATGAAAGTGAAAACAGAAGAGTTGCAACAACTAAAAAGGGAAAAGAAATGCAATAGAATTGAAAGATGAAAACAAAGGGGCAAATGGTCTATTCAAGCATATCTGATTGTTTTAAACTCCGGTGGTGGGCGCACCGGGAACAGATAATTACTACACATGCACACTTTTTAAGAAGAGGCGAAGGGCAAAATAACAAAATCCAAGACTCAGTATGAGACCCAAAAAGTCATTTCCAGCTTAATCCACCTCCTCGATCTTTGGTCCAGCACCAGATCCACCACCAACTGAAGGACCATCATCATCCATGGTTCCGGCACCCATATCACCACCAGCTCCCATGTACATCTTGGCAATGACGGGGTTGCAATGCTTTCCAGCTCCTTCATCTTGTCCACAAACTCATCTGCCTCAGCTAACTGGTTTCCATCAAGCCAATGGATAGCCTGCTCAATCGCATCCTCGACCTTCTTCTTATCAGCAGGTGGAAGCTTGGAACTGATCTTTTCATCCTTGATGGTGTTCCTCATGTTATAAGCGTAATTTTCGAGGGCATTCTAGGCCTCGGCTTTCTTCTTGCGCTCCTCATCCTCGGACTTGTATTTCTCTGCTTCTTGCACCATCTTCTCAATCTCTTCCTTGGATAGCCTACCCTTATCATTAGTAATGGTGATCTTGTTCTTCTGTCCAGTGGTCTTATCCTCAGCGGAGACATTCAATATACGGTATATACCATTGGCATCAATGTCAAAACAAACATTGATTTGAGGAACGCCACGAGGAGCCCAATCCATTTCATGGTCAATGTTTATCCAAAATCTTGGGTGACAGAGAACATCAAATATGAAAATACCATTGGCTTTTTATTCTTGAAAGAATATGGTTGTGTGGATGTGCGTGAGATTGTTTATATGAAACCAATCCCTTCCAGAAATTTCCTTTCAAAGAAGATTGATGTGTGGTGATACACAATGCAGTGAGGTTAATGATCATAGGGCGACGTTGAAAGTTATAAAAAAATATTTTTAGAAGTTCTGAAAATGAATGGAGGTTTTTTATAGTAGATTTAAATCATTTGAAAAAGTTTTAAGATGTTGAAAATGTCCTACTTGATCACTTCATCTAATACGATAATTTGCATCGCTTTTATGTTTCGCATTACATAAAATAGAAAAACACAGCTAGATTTTAATGGATGACGGGTGTATTATTCTTTGGCTATTGTCTTGTAGTCCAGTTAAGGATTACGTGGAGGCTACCGCGGCAGCTGATGGATTACGCGTTCACAATACCCATTTTTCTATGATTTTCTTTTCGAAACCTTTTGGCTGTCCATGTGAGCTGCTTATTGCCATTTTCCACACGCTTCAAAGCTAATAAGCTTTTGTACAAAAGCATTTGCCCATACCCCCAATCATATAACTCTCTTTTCCTTTGCTTTCAACCGTTGCACTGTATTTTTCCTTTCATCTTATGTGCCTCCACTGGCAATGGTCAATACTGTTTGTTTGCTGAGAAATTTTGGATTTGTAAGGTAATTTCCCTTCCCTGACTGCTTTACCGCAAGGAATCTTAGCCCGTGAAGGCACTGGCATTATTTAAAGGTCTTTCTTTTCCTTGCGTTTTCGCTATATATGGTACAGAGCTGAGAGGGAGGACATCTAGTGGATGTTGCAAAACCAAGTTTAAGTTTTTGGGGAGATATGAAGTGAATTTGCAAGCGAAGATGAAATCTTTCAGTGGATTAGGGATTGGTTTAAGTTTGGTTTTTGGTTGTCTTGTACTGGCTCTTGTTGCGGAGCTTTACTATTTGCTATGGTGGAAGAAGAGATTTGCTAACTCTGAAGTGGAGTACGATTACACCAACCAGGCAAAGGAGCTTTTTCAACTCTTCTGCTGGAAGAAACCATCAGCTTCTTTACATGCACCCACCATCACCATCACCAACTGCAACCAGGATGCCAATGGTGTGGAGCCAGACCTCGAGCTTGGGTCGACCAAGGGTTTGCTGCTAAAGGGTTTTGGAGAAGAGGGTGTTGAATCAGAGCTGATAAGGCTCTACAATCTTGCTGGTCACCTAGATTCCTCTTCACCATCAAAGAGGAACCAAGGAAGATTTGGAGTCCGAAGATAAAGGGTCAAGAAGAAGGAACTTGAATGATGTTATGCTGCTGCCTGTCGACACTCCTTTTCATACTCCTTTGGCTTCTCCCCCATTGAAGTCACCTTTAGGTTCTTATTATCAGCCCCAAGGATTCAATCCTCTCTTCGAATCTTCCACGGATGCCGAGTTAAATAAGCTGAGATCTTCATCTCCTCCCAAATTCAAGTTCTTGAGGGATGCAGAAGAGAAACTTTTAACAAGGTTGGCATTAGAAGCTGAGAAAATGGTACAAATCAGAAGGGACAATGCAACAGAAGGGACGATAGTAGAAGGGTCTTTCCTTAAATTCATCGCTGGTAAGAAGAGGGAACCTCCCCAGTACTTACAACAGTATCCTTCAAGTTCTTCTCAGGTGCTGCCACTGTCTTCTTCTCCTACAACATTCAGACCACCAGACAAGAAAGACACTCTGCATTAGATCCCTGTTAGATGAGTTCCTTTTCTTGTTATTTTTTTCTTCTCAAATTATTCTTTTAATTACCAATTCATCTTGAATTAAGACAAAATCAAAAATTTCTAAGATTGATGTTTAGGGTGTTGGTTTGGTTAGTTAAACTACCATCCCTTCATCCTCTCCACTGTATTTTCACGAGCTACTGATTTGCGGAAATGGTGTACAGCTAATCTTTTTTAATTTTCCCGTCTGATTATACAGTTTGTCTTTTTGTTAATCAAAAGGCTGCAAACACGCATGACAAGCTATCACTCCTGCCCAATGAATGATTAGCACGTATTTAATCGTTGTATTGATTAAACGACCTGTTGCTGTAAAGCTGATTTGTTGAATAATGGTGCTTATGTCTTCGTTTTCTCAGTCGAGTTAGAATTTTTATTTAATATCTTATAGATTTTAATTACATATTTTTTTATAATAAATAAATTTTAATATATATTTATAAAAATAATCTTATACAGTGTATTTATGAGCTATATTTAACAGCTTCTCTTTGTGTGGCTTGACTCTATAGACAAAGCTTTACTGATAGATATATAGAAAATATAAAAACAAAACGCTTAGAAAGTAGGGACCGGCCCGCCATTAATGCAATTCGTCTCACCTTCCTCAAAAAGACAAAAACTATCTTTTCGTTCGCGACCCATCATCATATTCATTGTTCACCTTCTACTTGGTCAGTTGACCAAAAAAAAACTCTACTACAGGGTTAGCTCCGTACCCAACACAAATGTCGTAATTTTCAATTTAAATTTTTTTTTATAAGGACATATGATTCGTTTATTTCGTTTTATCTTTTATCTTTTTTATCGGTATATTTATGAGTCATATTTAATATAATTAAAAAAATCAATCATGTATTTAAATTAAAACATTCATATAAAAAATACGTGGTTTGAATGTTTGCTTGCCTTTAAAGGAGGAGGTCTAAATCGAATAAATCAACAAAAACTGCCCCCACCTCGACCAAGACGTATGTTTTTCAAAATTCGAATCCTAAAATATGAATGGCAACATCAGCCGCAACTTACAGTATTTGAATTGGGATAAAGTGAAGAGTTCAAGCAATAGGTGGAGAGGCCAAAGCAGTGAAACCAGACAGAAGAGCATCATGTGAGAAGCAGACAAATAGTTGGAAGAGTGGTCCAAGTGCTTTTTAGGTCAATTCCTGTTGAATGACTTGTTTTGTTTTGTGGGTCTTCACTGCAGTCTGGAATTGGAAACCTATGATCTGCTTTTGCTCATTTCCGCAAGCAAGCTGGTTATACATTTTTGAACTACTACAAGATGTCTTTCCATGTATCCAATTTGACAGAGAACCCAGAACAATACCAGTGGTTATAACTAAGAACCTACATCAAAGGCATACCTCATGCATAAACAACTACTGAATCACTAAAAGCAGATATACAAAGAAGAAAATGGAAGGAATACATACATTCTCATTTGTTGACTGCTTAATCAATGTTTTCCAGTTGTTCCATTGCAGTGCCTAGGAAGACGTTCACTATATTGAAAAGGTAGTCTATAGAGATGCTGAAATTTTGAGTTCCAATTATAAATGATGGCCAACAGTGACTGAAAACGGGGTGAGCAAGGTTGATGACAGGAATCTTTGATAAGATTCATAGGTTAAATTGATATTTTATCTAAAGTTAAAGGGTCAAATTAATATATCACCTAAAATTAAAAGGTCAAATTAATATTTTATTTAAAACTTAAAAGATTATTTAAAATTATTCTCTTTTATTATAAGTGATTATAAAAATGTTATTTTAAATTCGGTGATAAAAGTGAAACAAAAATCATCATTTTAATATTTTACCGTATTATATATATATATATATATATATATAATTTACTAAAATATTTTTTTAAATGAAATTGAAAATAATAATTCTTTTCATTTTTTTTTTCTTAATGTAAAGTACACATCCTATTCCTAACAGAGTTTTATTAATTTTCTTGAACCAAATTGGTTAAAAAAAATGGGCACAAGCCCATAAAATTAATGTTCTGGGCTATACAAGTTGAAATAAATGACCCAACTACTTTGTTTTCCATTTCGACCCTACTCACATTAAGCTTGAAAAGAAAGAAAAGAGCCCTCAAGGCCGGGGCCGACCGTTCCGATCCTCTCTAAAACTCTTTATTTTTGAGCTAGGATCCTCTCTGAAACTTGTTTGCCAACCTATGTCCCGTTTTCAATTTCCCCCTTGTTGTTTCTTTCTGCATTGAACCCTTTTGTAAATTCAAAAATAATGGTTGATGGATTGTTCTTTTTGCCGCTTCTTTGATTCATGCAACATTTTCACGGATTGTTTACAAAACTGCTTTTTAGTAGACATTTAGTTTTGTAAATAGGAAATTTAATGATGTTGAGGAGCACGAGCATAGGAAAATGTTAAAACCATACGGTACAGTTGTTATTTAGATTTTACTTTGTTATAAAAGAGAGTGTTACAATGAAAGAAAGGGAAGAGTAGGGGGCGAGTTAATGTTAAAAGCAGAAAGCAAAAAGCCGGAACTGAGTTTTCTTTAGCCGTAGGGAGTGGGGAAAAGCATACTTCCCCTCTCCTTATCCCTTTTACTTTTTCAGAACAGATTGGAGTTTGGGTTGCATACTCGATTCCATTTCCCATAAATCACTGCATTCAATCTCATAGGCAATTATATCCAGCTGACATGACATCCCACTGCATATGAGATCATTATGATTTTGGACTCTAATTTGAGCCAAATTGCTTTGAAATGAAAACCCAACAAATCACCAACGGATTCGAGTCCATGTACATGTAAAGAATCTCCACGAAGACTCATCCACCTATTATAATCCGGGATACAATTCGGATTGATCCGAATTAGTTAAGACAAAGTTTTGAGAGGTTAAGAAAAAACCCAACAAATCAATACAAAAACATGTCTTTTGGCTGACGTTAGCCATAAATTATTAAAGTAACTTTGCAAGTGATAAAGGATATCTCTCGGATCATCTATGGACTGCTGCATATTCATATATGTTCAAAACCCTAGAAATGATCTCTCTCGACAACATTGGGAACTGTAGCTTAGCTTCTCTTTCGGAGCTAAAAGGAAATGCCTACTTGCCTAGCAATAAAAGTGATAGTGCAACTGTAGCATCTTCTAGTTGTTGTCAGATTTTCATGTGCAATTATTATGAGGTAAAGGTTTGTTAGGGTGAATGAAATGGAAGATTTATTTTCTCGATTACGATTTACTTTGTGAGGGGTCGAAATCCAAGGCTAAACGCGCTGCCACATGTATTTCAGTGTTTTTGAGTCTTGACAGAGCAGATAGGCTACTGTTTCTCTCTTTTCTGCAGTGTGGGAAACCATCCATCTCTGATCTGAGCCAACCCCACGTTAGCCAAAACCCTAGTTTAATTATATAGCAAGTGATATCCATGGACGAAAAACTTTATGTTATGAGTGAATTTATGAAATTTTGAGGGAGAATGAACTTATAAATTTTAATAGATCAAAAATATATTATCAATTTAAAATATATAAAAATAAATAAAATACAACTACCAGATCACCCCTCGATGGATGCTTGTATACAAAAGATACTCCATAATAAAATTGTAGATATATATTCACCTGTCATATACGGGTGGATTTGATTAACTAGATATCTAAGGTATAAATATAAACACGTATGTATATCTACACGTATACATGGATTTGCATGTGTAATGTATATGAGGTAAATGTTGGGGACAGACGAATGTGTTAAAGCTGGAACACTGCTTCCTTTCCAACTATAAAACCCGTGGGCAGGAGGGGTAGCCTTTGCCTCAGCTTTTGAGTATGAAATTGAGGGAAAGGCCGTACTGCGTTCAGAATTTGATAGGGAATTAGATTCCATGATCATCAAATTCCATTTCTTGTAAGCTTTAGTTCATAGTGAATCTGTAAATGCACCTATACACATACATGCATCATGCATGCATGCAAAGCAAAAAATAAAAAGCTAAAGATCAGTTTGGGCAAAACTTTCGAGATAATGTTCTCCAATAAATTAATTCACGAGATAATGCACTCCCCAGATTAATTGCTCAAATAGGATGAAATCCACAGTGTTGGCCGTAGGTCGCCATGCCATCCGGGCGACCTACTAGGTCGCCATATCTTCCCTGCGAGCTACGAGATATTTTGCATGTGCCATGCACGTCCCAACACGCTGGGCATCCGAGGCCATCCGAGGGGTAGGTCGCCATGCACGCTAGGCTAAGTAACAAATATTACCTACATCGGTAATTAGGCTTTCATGCGATTACCTAAATTTCCCCTAAGTAACAACGATTACCTACATCGGTAATTAGGCTTTTTAACTACGCTGAAATGGAGGTCGTCATGTATTCCGGGTGATCTTATAGGTCGCCATGTGATCCCGACGACCAAACTGGCGAGATGCCTAATTACCGATATAGGTAATGAAGCAGCTCACCACAGCTCGCAGGGACGGCATGGCGACCTCCTTGGTCGTCAGGAGCGCCTGGCGACATATGTTCGAACTGTAGATTTCACTCTATCTCAGCAAATAATTTCAGTTAGACCTTATTTCAACAAATAATTTTTTTCAAAACTCTACAGCAACAAATCACCCGATCAGATTGATTAATAATTATAATGGCAATAAAACAAAACTACATGCACGTGGGAGATAAACTATAATCCCACTCAAGAACTCTGCCTATAAAGCAATGATAATATCTATTAAATGTTTACCTTGGGAGGCTCTTTTGTCCCCTTTCTTGTTCGTTTTTTGGTAATAATATATAACCATCGGTCCTATTGGTTCTTTGCTGCATTTCTAAATCACAGTGAGTGCATAGAAACCGAGATTCCTTATTGAAGAAGATAGAGATGCATGGCTAATGAGTGACGAGCTTCAAATATTGAAGAACTGCATCCATTAAAGTTTCAGAACAGCGAAGCAGATTATTCAAACAGCTAGAGTCGGAACAAGGCTGAGGAAAAATCGGCTACATGTCGGTGCTTAATTAAGAATTATTCTATGTTATTGTTTATATACACACACACATAAGCCGCCCAAAAGTAGCAAAAGTAACACTATCAAACAAATATAAAATTAGGGCTTTTTGTTATAAAGATGATAATGTTTTCAAGGAAAAGGGGAGCTGTACAACTGTAATCAAAGATCAAGATATTATCTATAATTTGAAAAGGAAATAAACACACATACATATAATTTGAGCATTTGATTCCATAATTAATATATACAAAATCAAGAACGTTTAAAAAAAATAATCATGAATTCTTAAGTTTGAGTGTATTTTATGTTATAGAGAATAGAGATTTAAATTTTAGAAAAGATATTATTAAGAGAAACATAAATAAATTTTAAGCATAAATAAAATATAAAAAATAAATATTTTTCTGTCTTGATTAGTCCTGGGTTCATAATACTAAGGGGTGATGAGCTTTTTCTCGATGCCATGGATTAATCTCCTTTTGAGCACTAAAGCCATTAATAAATAGTCGACAAACACATGAGGAAAGGAAGGAAGGAAGCTTATTGGCGAAGGAAAAACTTCATCCACTCGAGACTCGAAACCCTAATAATATAAAGAAACAAAAAGGAGAGATGAGAGAATAATTAAGGAATAATAAATAAATAAACAAAAGGCATCTCCATCCCCCCACCTCCGTCTCTTTATTTCTCTTTTCTCTTTGCTTTCTTGGCCTTGGTACTCTCTCTTTGTGTTATTCTCCACCTTATTTTTGCTAAAGAACCTATCAACCTGCTTTTGTAAAAGAAAAAAAAAATTAACTATGGTTTTCCCATCTGTTCCAGTTTATTTAGATCCTCCCAATTGGCAACAGGTAAGGGTTTTTTTGTTCTCTTTTCTTCATCAATTTCCATCCACAGCTTATGCAACCAAGAAAAAGCTAATTGTAAAAGATAAATATTCGTATTCCTTTGTGAAATTTTCCTGAATATACCGAGTGTTATCTTTGTTGTGTTTTTTCAGCAGCTTAATCATCAACAAGTTGCTGTCAGTGAAAATCCTCAGCTTCCACCTCTTCCTGCACCTCCTGATCATCATGTTGGTGGAGCTGGTGGTGCCGGTTCCATTAGGTCTGGTTCGATGGCCGATAGAGCCAGGTTAGCCAAAGCTCCACAACCAGAAGCACCACTGAAATGTCCACGCTGCGCGTCCACCAACACCAAGTTTTGCTACTTCAATAACTACAGCCTAACACAACCACGCCACTTTTGCAAGACGTGTCGGCGGTATTGGACTAGAGGAGGAGCTCTTAGGAATGTCCCTGTGGGTGGAGGATGCCGAAGAAACAAGAAGAAGAAAAGCAGCAGCAGTAGTAATAGTAGCTCTAAAGCCACAGCTTCTGCCGAGAGGCAAAGTCATCCAAATTCAACCAATTCTCTTATGCCCTCTGAAATCACTCCTCATTTGCCGCATCAAACACCGCATTTACCTTTTATGGCTTGTCTGCAAAGCTTTTCTCCGTATGGTATAGGAAATATTGGCTTAAACTTTGGTGGAATTCAAGGTCATATAGGGCCAACAAGTGACATTAGCGGCCAAACTGATATGGGGTTCAATATAGGAACTAACTCAGACATTAGCGACGCTATTTTATCAGTAAGATCAGGAAACCATCACCAGTTCCCGTTCTTTGAGCCAACTAATGATATATATCCATTACAAAGTGAGTATATGGAAGCATCACCTTCAATGGTGGGAGAAAGTCAGATTCTTCGTTCCACAAATTCAAACTCTAGGGTTTCTCAGCGAACTCCTGTGAAAGTGGAAAACAGCAACCAAGGGCTAAATCTATCAAGGTCGTTGATGGGTGTTTCGAATCATAACAATCAGTATTGGGGAGGAGGAAACAGCTGGACAGATTTATCAGGTCTCAAGTAATCATCTCTCACTCTTATAGCTATAGTTTCAATCTTTCTTGACAGAAAGCAGCTTAAAGCTGATCTCTGAAGCTTCAGCCGCTTCATTCCGTCTTTAATGACAGATGATAGTTGACATAAAGTAGCGCTGCTCCAAGTCTTCAACATCAAAAGCTAAATAATGGATGGTAAAATTGCATGGTTTCGTTGTGGAACTTATCTCTCATCATCATCATCTTCCTCTCTAAGAAGCAAATGTTGTTTCATACTATATATTTTGGGGTTTTCTTAAGCTATGTGTTTGTTTGTTTGTTTTGTTTTGTTTTTGTTTGCATGGGCTTGTTTACATATTTGTTCTATCTTTTGTGTTTGACATGAATGATGTAAGCTCATTCATCTGTGAAATATCGTTTATGGTAACTTCTTTCTCTTGTTTCTTTTTCTTCATTCATTACCATTGTTACAAAGGATGCAATTCCACGAAGATTGAAGTACGGAAGTACAGTACTCTTTCCTGCAGATAATCATATATAATTGATCACCCACATTTCAACAGAATATTCCTTATAGGAGAATAAGCAAGAAAATATTCTACAAACAATGTAAGCTGCATAAAATCATGGTACTAAATTTTGGTTCCTATATAGATTTTTTCCCTGTTTTTTTCAAAGAACCGTGCTGGAATTCCAGTTGAACAAGAAAGTTGAAGAAGTTTATGGAATTGACACGATATATTATCAGATGCATGCACTTGAAAATTCCTTTGGCTTTCAGTCACGATTCATGAACTTTTCAATTCATCATTTGAGGTTAAGAATCTGGCCAGCATGTTTATTGGCTTAGAATCTATATTTCATGTTGTTTCTTGCACTTGTTGATTGTATGCCTCTTCCATTTTTAAGGTAAATTATGTCGATTAATTATAGATCATTTGATAATAAACGGGTGAGTTTTTTTTATAAAATTTATAAACAAGTCATTAAATTTAAATATCACTATAAATACGTCATTCTTTTATTAAATATTAGGGGAAATAGTGACATAATCTAGAATAATAATAGTTTTAATCTTTATAACTTATACAACATATCGGTTTGATCTTAATCCAAAATAAATCAATAAATTTAACTTTTTATATTTAAAAATTTAATCATTTTAGTATTTGTTGTTTTCTCATCAATGTTATATTATTATTATTTTGTTACTTTCCTAATATAATAATAGTTTGACAATAACTTGTTACATAATAATAGAATGTATTTATCCAACTACAGATTCGATTCGACGAAGTCACTTGACTTAATAGTATCAAGAAAAAAAAAACTAGGCTGATGAGATTTTTAAATATAAATGGTTAATATTGATTTTTTTTTTTGGATTAGAATCAAATTGATCAATTGTATGAGTTGAGGACTAAAAATACTATTATATCATGGCACATTAGAAGCATGTTTCAATTTTAACGAGGAAGTGACACATTTATAACTAAATTCATAATTAAGTGACCTTGAATGTAATTTATATAAGTACGTGCATGGGTAGAGCTTGAACTAAGACCACTAGTTTCGCAATTTTAACTAAATTTTGATCAATCAAATAAAGTTTGTACATGCCTTTATCCTCGGCAGGGAATCAGTTTATCTGCATGGATCCCGTCTTGTCTTTCTATTAATAGCTTTGCAGGTATAGGAGTTTAAATTTTTAAAGTAAAATTAAGACAAAGAATCCAAGAAAACCCTAAAAAGTCCCGCTAAAAACCAAGCAATTCCATGTCGTTCAACCAAAGTTGATACAGGTATTCTAGCTTTATAGAAAGAGCAGCAGTAATGGTTTTTTGCTTTAAAGTGTGTATGGGTGGTCAAAAGAACAGCAATAACCAAGACACTGTCATGCAACAACGAATAAAGCAAACCTATCTCTGTCTTCATTATACTCAGGACATAGATAGAAGATAGAAAGTTAAAAAAAAGACAGCAAGTAAAATCCGTTTGATGACGAAGATGTGAGGAACAAAGCAACAATATTTGACCATGTTTGGGTGGGAAATGAGGGATTGTTTTGTTCGGTGAGGATTTGTGGTGCGATGAAATGAAGGGGCCAGGCCAAGTTTCGAGGTTAAACACAGTAATACGGGGCAAATTCTAGTAAAGGTCACTATATTATTAGTGAGCTAACAATGAATCACCTTATTTCAAATAATCACAATCAAGCCACTTAGTTAATCAATTGTAACAATTAGATCGTTGTTCCATTAAATCTCAAAACATATTTTCAATTGATTTTTTGGGTAAATTACTCGTGTTACTCTATTTTTAACTAAATTTACAAATGGATCATTGTATTTTAAAAATATTAGAATCGAGTCACTCAATTAATTTTACTACAAACGGGTGGTTTTGGGAATTTTGAAGATCCAAGGCTCCATTCAATAATTCGAACAGTGGAGGGATTGTCAATGGAAGAGAGAACATATATAAGGACGGATGCCATCCATCAATGGACGACATAGATCAAAGTTTAAAAAGTTTGAACATTTTGAGGTGATTTTGCAGTTTTTGAGAAAGATTCTTTAAAATCTAATCCAATAAAATGAACGAGGAGATTGAGTGAAGCTTATGATGATATTCGGGGTTCACTAGCAATCATAAATGATTAGATTTTGTATTGAACATGTCTAGATTGCTACAATTTATTAATTAAATGACCCATTAATAGATTTTTAAAATATATGAATTTATCATAAATGAATTTTATATAGACATAGTGACATAATTGTTACAGTTATGAGTGATTTGATTGTGAATTTTTAAAATTCATGACCTCTTTGAAAATTACTAATAATTCAGGGACATGTAATGTAATTTACCCTAGAATATACAACTGACTGAAAAAATATAATAGGATTCTATTTTTTTCTTCCAAAAACTATTATATTTCAAAAAGTTACCCTATGTATGGAGTGCCCTAAAACAAGGGAAAGGAAAACTTGAAAGAAAATAGCATTTTCCTTATTTGAATATCCCTTGTTATTTTCCCTGTTGAGTTTGAAAAAATGAATGATTTTAACATTATTGTTTTTAATTAAATTAAGAGGATTGTAAAGTAATATTTATTATAAATACTCTCAATCATTTGACAATGAATACTCAATCATCCTGCTATAGTTGATGGTGCTTGAACCCGTGACCACTAAGAACAACAACGATTTCTTTAACCACTAAAGTAAGTTGGTTCATGTATTTTAACACTCTAAAATTCATACCAAGACCATGTCGTAAAATTTATAAAATGTTAAGTGTAAATAAGTGAGTGGAACCCTTCTTGAGTAATAACCTATGAATTTTTGAATGACAAAGGTTTTGTATATTAATTGGGATCAAAGTATAAATAGATAGAAGATAAAGCCTTTATGTCAAAATTTTCCCTAAAACTTATAATTTTAAAATAATAAGTCATTTGATTTAATGAGGTATTTCTCTACAAGTCCTTCGTTTTTTTTTGTTTTATGTTTTTGCCTCTAAGTAAGGTGGGACTGAAAGAAGAAGCTTTTACGCTTCATCATCTATCATTTCACGTCAAGTCTTTAAGCTTCAGATGAAAAAGTGGCGTTGAATGTTTTAAGAAATGAATGTTCAAGATTGACAATAAGTATAAAACAGTCAAAATATGCTCCTATGATTACATATAAATTAATAAAAGAGACATTACAGTATTATTACTCATGCATGTTATTTGAATTTCATAAATTTATCAACTAACACTTGTATAAATAAGAAACATAGCGTGAGAACATGAATGATAAGATGAAGAAATTATTAGTGCCTTGCATTGATGAAGATGACATGATATGTGATTTTACAATGTGGTACTACGACGTTTTATCATATAGTATGAAATATGAAGAGGGTTCGTGAAATATGTGTGTGTGTGTCATATTTTTAAAATTGATAATATAGCTAGATAGTTAAAGTCATTAAATATGAGTCGCATCTCAATAGGTTTAGTGCATGTTTACGTTACTACCAAGACCACTCTATAGATTTTGGTGTATTGGAATTCAAATTCTAATAAATATGATTTCTTTTCTATTGAAGTTTAATAACTTGAATCCTAAAAAGTGCGTTGTTCTTTAGTATTTCTTTCACTTGCACAAACACTTGCAAACAGAAGCTTCCTTACGGGGGGAATGCATGAATTGTATTCTATCTGAAACACTATGAAACCAGAAACCTAGTTTACCTACAGGCTTCAAAGTAAAGATCCAACGTTTCCTTGTTGTTGTCGATATCACCGAACGAATGTTATAAATCAAGTTTCGATCTAACAGAAATCAAAGAGTTCGGAAAAAATATAGCTGCTTCAAGCGAAACATGAATGTAGCTAAACAGAGAATGAAGTTCAAGGTTGGCAAGTTTGCACCCTTTTTTGGTTGCATCTATATCACTAATGACCA